TGATGTTTTAAAGTAGGTTGTTAACTGCTTTGAGATTTTTTTCTTAAAAATACAAAGCGGTATAGAAATGAAATGAATTATTAGTAGTAGTAGCATTTATTATCACTAGATATGCCTACTTGGAATTAAGTTCCATTGAGTTCAGTGGAATTGGGGGGTGAAATTCAGGAATATGAAAATACCCAGTGGCGGGCAAGAGAGGTGTGCCCTATTGCTAGGGCAATGCCCAGCCCTCTTTTTAGTCCTGTGTAGTGTCTGCCACACAGCAAAACAGTATGTGTCCTGTTGAGGCAGCATGGATGCCTTTGAAATAAATTTGGCCCCAGGCTCATGTAAACTGACAGTGAAACATTGAAGTCATCAGGTAATCAACTCTGGTTGGCTTTGCCACACCATGGCATCATGCTTCCTACACGAGATCAGATATTCTGGGGACCAAGCTGCAGGGTAATAGTGTTTTTTGATGCACATAGCTGGTAAATAGTATCTGATTGTAAAAAGCACTGTGCACGATTCCCTGTGTAATTAGGATTTGTGTGTTGTCTGTCATAGTCCTCGGGTCGAGTTGTAACTTCAGCACAACAGAAGGCTGGAAGGACAATCACTGCTAGAATCTTCGGCCGGCCTGATTTTGCACTAAAGAATCGGATTTGTAGTAACCTAGATGTGTTGGGCGTTTCTCCTCCCATGAATTCTGTTGTTGTGGAAAAACATCATCCAGTCACTAAAGTAAGTCATGTAAAGTTTAAGTAATGTGTGCCTTTTACCCTTTTTTCTTCTGTGATTTAAGTTTGTATTTCCTGTGTCGGTTTGAAAGATCAAGTACAAAACGTAGCTAGAGTGATCCAGTACACAAGCATAGATTATTTTAAGTTTTGTATGGGAAGCAATAGTATTCCTCTGTTTGTAGACACCTGAGTTCTCTATTGATTTGGAAGCAAAAGGGGCCACTTTCAAATAATAATGGTTTGTTACATAATTCGGGGAATACCCCAGGTACTTGGAAGTATGATTCTGTATATTAAAAGTAAAGGTGTGGATAAAAAAAAACACCTGGTAATGCTCACAATGAACAATTGTTTTTTCAATGCTCTTCAAGTAGAGGGCATTTCTGATCTCAATGTTATTTAGTTCTAACCCTTCTGTCAAGAGAGTGGCCTGATCCACCCACTTCAATCTAAGCTATACTTTGCATCTAGTGCTTTCCCTGCCCCCTACACCATATGCTGGTTTTGAAAACTATTCCTCTTATATTTGTGGTAATTCGAAGTAGCTGTTTCCTGTCTCTACTAAAAGCTAGAGGCAGGACTAGAATCTGATTGTTAACTGCTAGAGGTGACCATATGTTTGTTTGGTGTCTGGTCTGATTAGTACACCAGCAGTACTATGAGCAATTGTCTTGGGACATTACAGTCCCTCCATACCTGTCCTGAAATCTTGTTGAACTCATACAGACTCCCATTAAACCAGCTGTGTTTTTACTATATTTTAATCCTTCACCATGGGCAGCAATCAGTCAGTCATGTTCTTGCATGATCAAGAGGTGATCCATAATGGTTCTGGTGAACATCTTAAGCCTGGTTTCCACAAGCAGCAAGAAGGTGGGAAGCCTCTTCCAAACTGCAGGGCTTGCATGTTGGAATGCTCCACAAAACTAGCGTTTATAATGCTAGTATGTCAAGAAGGCTAGGACTATTCTCTTTATATCTTGTTTTCTATGCCCAGCGAATTCTTGTTTTATGCGAGAATGAGCAGTTACATGAGCCCACTCCTGCAGCTGAAGCTGTTAGAGCCCAGAAAGAGGTTTTTCATCTCATTTGCTGCTGAACTAAAGACTGAGTCAGTTTTTGTTGCATCTTGCAAGCATATCACTCTACAGGGCCCTTTTTGGAGTAGGACTAAACTATGCTTCTGTGTTACATACAAAGTTCTTAGGCTTGTGTGCCGTTGTCTCCCCTCCCCCCCCCCCGGTCTGGCATAGCCACAAGATGTTTGGGGCGCAAGGAAGTCCATAAACCTGAAGCCTGTGCATATACCATTGGACCATAGTTTAGCAGTATGCATAAACCAGGCCTTTGGGTTATGCTTTTCAGCAGAACAAGCAGAGAATGGGGGGGGGGGAATGGAGGAAGTCATCCAAATGAGAAAGATATTCAGTGTAAGTCCTTGAAACTGTAGGAAACCTTGACAAAGTTTGTTGGTTCTGAGATACTGAATGCCTTTTTTTTGCTGTAACTGATAAGAGACGTGGAATAAACTCTGAAGTTTTCAAAGGTGATTCTTAATTCCTTTTGGAGCTTCATGTTTGTTCTCTATCCTTTTCACCCTACTCCTTACCTTTCAGTACGTTGAAAGGTCCAGATGCCACTTGGACTCATGTTTTTTTCTCCTGCCAGTTTCCTTAAACTACAGCTTGTAACAAAGGTCATCTAAAGCTTTTTGAAAGCAATGTTTCTTGTCAATCACTATGTATGTTTTTGCGTTTAAGTGGACACATATAGGCAGGACCAAAGGCTATAAGAACAGGCTTGACTGTACTATTGTGCTACTTTTCCTAATGACAATCTGTCAGTCAGGCTGCTTGTCTGAGAAGACAGCAGGAGAGGAACATACGCCCATTTCTGCTGGAATCATTACTTTTTTGCAACTTTTTCACTGAAGAGACTGTATATCTTGAATACAAAGAAAGAATATGTGAGGGAACCTAGCTTACCTACTGTAGAATACATGTGGAGGGATGTTTGACTTGAAATGTGAGAGTTAAAAAGTTTACAGTGCTTTTTGATGGGGAGTTTGTGAACAGGTGTGATGCATAATCTGCGCAGCTGCAAATCAGAAAATTCCTGGCTTGAATTTCTCCTTGACTATGTGCTCTCCAGGTAGTGTTATTATTAATTTGTCCATTTATTAGATTTCTTACCTTTTCCCATAATGGCCCACATTATGGAATACACAATTATGAAAACAGCTACAGCCATAAAACAAGAAGGGTATAAAAGCAATTACAACAGCTCCATTTTTGAAACAATCAAAAACAATTCCGTATGTTAAAATAGTTAAAAATAGCTCCAATACAGATGCAGACCGGGATAAAATAAAAGCATATGGAAAGAGGAAGATCTTCAGGAGGCACTGAAAATACCATGGAGTTGCCATCCATCTAATGTGTAAAAGGTTGCCACTGCCACAATAACAGTTTCTGCAGAGAGCAGTGATGTTAGGTATATGAGACCTTAGAGAATCCACGTTCTCCCAAAGTGACTTACATCAGTAGTAGTAGTAATAATAATAATAACAATAATAATAATAATAGGCATGGGCCAGGATCAGAGGCAGTATACTTCTAAATGCCAGTTGCTGTGGAGTGAGAAAATTGCTGCTGAGTTCATGCCCTGCATGAGTTTTCCTCGGGCATCTGGTTGGCCACTGAGAATGGAATACGGGACTAAATAGGCTTCTGCAGTCTGATCCAGCAGGGCTCTTCTTCATTCTTAAAGCTTTTAAGTTGCTAGGTAGGACATTTGACTTTCCAATTTACAGAGAACAAATAGAAAAGTTACTAGTTGAGCAGTTGCTTCACTTTTTATTTGATGACCTATGGGAAACATTTTATTTTTTTTAATGGAAGTATTTTCTAAAGTCTCTTTGAGTATCTGGTTTACCTTGCTAATGTTACGGGCTTGTTTGAGATCATGAGATGGGACAGGAAAAATAACTGCTTTTTTCTTGTATGTTTCAGCAAACCATACCTCAAGCTACTGCTGCTAAATATCCTCGAACTTTGCACCAATTTTCTAACGCTATCAGCGCGAGGCCTTCAGGACACAGTGCGAAATCTCACTCCCAGACCCACAGCAACGTCCAGTCAATAAAGGTGGTTGACTAGGTTTACAGGTTAAAATGCTTGTATTTTACCTTGAACACATGGAGGCAAATATTCTAGGTTACAGTTTAAAATGCTCCCTGATGTTTATACCCCAAGGATGCATCATGTTTTTTCCTTTCACTAATAATAATAAATATGTAAAAATGTTTTGAGGCTTAAATATAAACCGCCTGAGTTAGTGCAATGTAGTTCTTTGTAACTGCAAATAAGGTCTACTTGAAATTCTTATTTTCTTAACTATTTTATTAACGATTATTTAATGTTTTTAATAAAAAGGATAAACTGAACTCTGTATATTTTAAGAAGCACGAGTATTTCTACTACATAAACATCAATAGTGCCTTACGTATATCTTTTATTATTCTGAAGCCCTAAACTGTTGATGTACCAATCAGTCTTGAAATTCGGGGTGTGGGGGGGATGTTCCTCCATAATTTTTGCTGTCACCAAATGAGAAAACAAGGCAAAATACAATATGAAATAGGTTTCTTTGCCATGAGTAGCAGGTACATTTATATACGTAATTTGAGTGAAAATGAATGCTTTTATAAAGTAATAAGAGAGAAGTAACGTCCCAGTCCTTTGTTTTCATGATAGCAACATTTTGGTTCCTCCCAATTGTAAAAAGTGGCATCTGCAGTTCCACTTTTAAAGGTCTCATAATGCACGCTTTCATGATGAATTTGAGTTTTATCAGTTCCACTGGGCCGAGGCCGTTTAGGGCTTTAAAGGTCAGCACCACCACTGAATTGTGCTCAGAAATGTACTGGGAGCCAATGCAGATCTCTCAGGACGGGTGTTAAATGGTCCTGGCAGCCACTCCCAGTCACCAGTCTAGCTGCCACATTCTGAATTAATTGCAGTTTCCGAGTCACCTTCAAAGGTAGCCCCACGTAGAGCGCATTGCAGTAGTCCAAGCAGGAGATAACTGGAGCATGCACCACTCTGGCGATGCATTCTTCCCTGTATGTGTACTCGGTTTCACACTTTTATGATAAAGACACAAAATGGAACAACTCCAGTTGTTGAACACCAGCTTCCATCAGTCCTGACTCTTGGCCACGGCAGATAGGAACTAGTTCAATAATAGTAATAATAATTTATGCCACCCATGTGACTGTAACCTAGTTTGACCATGGTTATTTATTTAGACACCACCCTTGCATATAAAATAGCCATATGGTATACAGAAAAATTTTACAGGTTCAATAAAATAGAAAATACCTTGAAAGCAATACAAAATATTAATAAAATGATGGTCTCATCTTGAAAGAAAAATGGTTGGACAGCTAAATAGGCCTCTTGCCATAAAAACATTTTCAAGAAACACCTGAAAATTAGTAGCTGAGAGTATTTCACAAAATTGGACTGGCGACACTAAATGCCTGAGTTCTAGGAGGACAAGAAATTGTTCTCCTCCAGGTGATCTCTGGGCAGGCTGGGATATTCTTGGCCCAGGATCCAAAGAGGCTTTTGTGGACACCTAAGGCACTGCATGCAGAGGCCCTGCCAATTTCCCTTCCCAATGCTGACTGCCACTTCAAGGAACAGGAGGTTGCATTGAGACAAGGATGGTTGCAAAAGCTTGGGTATGTACAGCTCTTTCAGCCCTAATACACAATTTGTATAATTTTGTACCATCACACCATTCTGGAAAAATATTTTTTTGGTTTCCAGGTGGTCTACATGCAGAAATAAGAGGGAGGAAACTTTAAACTTTAGAAGGAAAAAATTATGCTGAAAAACACTTTATACTGAAGGAACATCAGTTGTGTACTGTATGGTAACCTCATATTAGAACCTTCAGGTTATGAAGTTTAGATAAAATTCATTGCATTAAGTCTCAAGATTCTGTTAAGTATCTAACGCAAAGTTTTAATTCACATGTCCACTATAGAATTGTTTGCCGTAAGAAAAATACATGGTATTCTCTTGCCAAAAAACCAAAAACCTTTTGTCGTACAAATATGTTTCAGTGCACTGAAATAGAAGTTTGGGGAACAAACTGGCTGCTTTTGAAGAAGCATCTTCTATTGAAAAATAAAAATGGCACCTGTAAATTCCAGAATGTATGTAGTTTCCAGCTCTTTGGTGGATGAGTTCATGAAATTGCACATTTCTTGGATTCTGTGCCAGCATTATTTTCTGCTCTGATCTTCTCTGTAAGAGGAAATACTTGTCAGACTTCAGAAAACATGGCATGCCTATAATATGTCAGATGTGAACGATTCATGTTCGTTTCTGCACAACACACAATATTCAGTAGCCACCCAACCATCTGCTGTTAAAGTGAAACCAGTGGCAATTAAAGAATTTCTGAAATAGAAACAGGCACCCCCCCAAACAAAGTTGTTTGGCTTGCTTTCTTTTATTTAAAATCCTTTCAGTATTATTTGTATACTGGCTTCCTGCCATCTTGTTTCCTTTACTTATATGTACTGATGATGTAGCTATAGTCACACCATGGGTATTTGCCTTTTTATTTTTAAGAAATTGATGCTGCATGGGAATTTTTCATCTTTTTCTCGCAGCCCAGGCTCCAGTATATCCTATCATTTCATTCTTAAATTTTTTTTGCTCACGACTGCAAGCTCTTTCCCTCCAACACTGAAGCATTCAGGGCTCCTCCACACTGCTGCTTGTCTTCTGCCTAGAATGCATGGGTCCAAGCGGTTTTCTGTTTGCCCCTCTGCTTTCCCCAGGAAAAGCCACTCTTAATAGTGCTCAATCAGAGCAAATGTCAGTGCATGAAAAACCCGATTGATGTTTGCTCTGATTCAGCAGTTAATAATGGGTTTTCCTAGGGGAAAGCAGTCGGAAAAGCAAAGTCTGCATGAGCCAATATTTTTGTTTTGTTTTCTCCCCAAGTAACAAATTGAGTACAGCTTGTTCCTGTCTTCCTCCAGCAAGCAGCTCATTATCCATGAGGAGGACATGGCATCGCACCCTTAGGGATAAGGTGAACTTGCTTGAAGTAAAATTTGGGCTTTTCATCAGCTGGAAAGGCCCTTTGCCTCATCTGAAGTCTGGTGCCTCACTTGTTTAACCACATCAGGGAATTGCTACTGTGCTAGCATCCATAATGTGTTTTTTGTGTGTTTTAATGGATTGATGATTGATTGCAAATGGCAGGCATTTCCTTCATCTGGGGCGGAGATGCTCAAGAATGGGAGGAGGGAGTTGCATGCGTTGGAAGTGTTTGCATTTGCGATGCGTGTGAAAGTGTATGGTGTGACTTTCCTGGTACCATGGAATGTTTCCTGTTATTAGAAGACAACCACATCATTGTTGTGGAGGATCAATATGGTATGATCTCCACAAGCAGGACCGGCAAGCATGAGGTTGTAGTGGGAAGAAAGCCACTGTGACTGTACTTGTATTCTAAATTATGACCTAGCAGACATTTTTTTTTAACTGGCACAACTGATGACTCCTGAACTATAACTAAATAAATCAATATGTGTTGGTATAGCAGGGGTGGGCCAGATCAATTAAACCAACTAAAGTCACTTTCCAAACTCCCAGCAAAATCGATCCCTTGCAATGTACCTGTTTTTCCTCTTGTGCACTGCCATAGCTAGCAAGTTGGAAGGGTTGTCTGCACAAAAGGAAGCAAAGGTGCCTTTGTGGTGCATCTTACTCCCACACCAATTGGAGGTACCTTACGCAAACCAGCAGTGTGTTGGGGAAGAAAACTTTCTTCTCTTTAGAGATTAATACAGAATCAGAGAGGCATTTATGTTGTCAGCTCAAGCATTTCACTTTGCCAGATGGAATGACTGCCCCTCTCCTCCCCCTACACACAGTTTTCAGGGTTCTTGTGACACACCCTTAGCCAATTTTGGGGGGGGGGTGGAGGAGGAGATGGGGGAAATCCCCATGGTGCATGCAGAAGACCTTCACAAGGTTTCTGCTGACAGGACTTGTTCGCTAAATCCCACCCAAAGTCTCTGCTCTTCAAAGACCAGATAGAATATCTTAATTTGATTGCTCACCAGCTAGATCTCTGAATCCTCCTTTTACCAGATCTTCATACAAATATTTAACTGGATTCTGGCCAGCCATTAGGATGCCATGCAACCAGATGAGAAGCATTCTGTGTCCGTGTTCCTTGTAGCTCTTTTTTCCTAGGCAACAACATATGGAATGTTAGCCTATAGTTTTAGAAAGAAAAATGTTTTCCCATGGGATGTTATCTCCCACTGGTGTAGGGATGCTTGCTTGAATGAGCTTGATACTCCAAGCCCCTCTGCTCACAGGGAAAGAAGAGGCTCTGTTGGGGACAGGGGTTGTATAATGGGTCTCTGTTTCAAACTTGCAATTCTTAGAGCAGTGTTTCCCAACCTTTTTTGGGCAAAGGCACACTTGTTTCATGAAAAAAATCTCGAGGCACACCACCATTAGAAAATGTTAAAAAATTTAACTCTGTGCCTATATTGACTATATAAAAAGTACAGTGGTGCCTCGCAAGACGAAATTAATTCGTTCCGCAAGTCTCTTCGTCTTGTGAGTTTTTCGTCTTGCGATGCACGGTTTCCCATAGGAATGCATTGAAAATCAATTAATGCGTTCCTAGGGAAACCGCCTTCAGACCAGGTCCGGGGACAGTCTGTCCCCCGACCTCTTCTGAAGGCTGGGGGGGGGACAAGGGCTTTTCTTCCCATTGCCAGCCTTCAGAAGGCTGTTCTGAAGGCTGGCGGTGGGAAGAAAAGCCCTTCTTCCCACCTCCCGCCCCGCAAGCTCCGGGGACAGGAGGGCTTTGCTGCCGACCGCCAGCATTTTAAAAGCCCCTGCTGTCCCGGGGCGATTTTAAAATGCTGGCGGGCGGGAGCGAAGTCTCCGCTGCCCCGAGGAGATTTTAAAATGCTGGGGGTCGGCAGCGAACGCTTCGCTCCCGCCCGCCAGCATTTTAAGATCACCCGGGGCAGCGGAGAAGTCTCCGCTGTCCCGGGAAGGCAGGCGGGGGGAGCAAAGACTTTTGCCCCCGCCTGCCTTCAGAAGAGGTCCAGGACCTCGTTCCGATGCCCGGCGGCGGGGTGCGAGGTTCCCGCCCCACCGCCCGGCATCGGGGCATCGTTCCGATGCCAGGCGGCGGGGGGAGAGGTTCCCGCCCCACCGCCCGGCATCGGGGCATCGTTCCGATGCCCGGCGGCGGGGTGCGAGGTTCCCGCCCCACCGCCCCGCTTCGGAGCAGCGCTCCGAAGCGGGGCGGCTGGGGCAGGTGTTCCCGCCCCGCTTCGGAGCAGCGTTCCGAAGCGGGGCGGCTGGGGCAGGTGTTCCCGCCCCGCTTCGGAGCAGCGTTCCGAAGCGGGGCGGCTGGGGCAGGTGTTCCCGCCCCCCCGCCCCGCTTCGGAGCACCGGGAGAAGCGATCTCCCCGCAGCCCCTTGCTTCAAAAGAGGTCCGGGGGCAGCGGGGAAGAAGCGCTGCGCTTCCCGCTGCCCCCGGACCTCTTTTGAAGCAAGGGGCTGCGGGGAGATCGCTTCTCCCCGCAAACCCTTGCTTCAAAAGAGGTCCGGGGGCAGCGCGAAGCGCTTCCCGCTGTCCCCGGACCTCTTTTGAAGCAAGGGGCGGTGGGGAGAAGCGATCTCGGGCGCCGCGGCGCGCAGGCGCACTGCTCGCTCCTCTTTCCGCGCAGGCGCCTTCTCTCGCTCTTTCGCCTCCTTTTCTTTCTCTCTCGATGGTCCGCCTACAAAGGAGCGAGGGAGGCGCCCGCCATGTTTGGATTTGCATCCAGCAGGAGATGCCGCCGCCGCCCCGCCTCTCCCGCCTCCCTCCCACGGCACACCAGGCAAGGTCTCACGGCACAGTAGTGTGCTGCGGAACACCGGTTGGGAAACACTGTCTTAGAGGGAATTATCATTAGTCTCTTGTCAGCCAAAGATTCTCCAAGCACTGGAAAAGATGTATATAAATGCCCTATGCCATAGGGAAAAAAGGGGTTGATATTCCATACAACAAATTTGGGGGAAATACACTCCCGTAACCATGATAGCATGCTGCCAAACAATAAAGCAAGCAATACTCCCACCCACCCCCAACCAGCAGATAAAAATAAAAACTCAACACCAACACCCCAAAGCCCAGAAAATCCGCACTGAATATGGAACCACCAATTTGCTGTGTGGGGGGACTGAGAGTTAAGATGGACATTACATGGTAGATGTGAGAACAGAAAACCCTTACTCTTCTTTTTAACTGAAAAGTAGCCGTGGAGACTAAAAGGAAGGTGCTGCCTAACTCTTTCGTCCACCATTTGTCCACTTAAATTTGCTCTCCCCAAACTGCTTCACTGTCTGTATGGGGATCCTGTATCTTCTCCCATGTGGGGGAGAGAGCAGCTTCAACTTGTGTGATGGGGTGCCCACCCCCAAAATGGAATGAAAATGGTAGGTATTCCCTCCCCCTTATTGTTCTTCTCTTTTTTTTTTATTTTAAAAAAGACCAGCACATGTGAGATGCAAACACAAATCTCATGTAACATCCAGTTTGGCTCTGAGAACGGAACCTTTTTGGATATTTGCTTCCACAACTTGAAAGCAACTGTCTTGCCACAAATAAAAGCATCTTCTGCCCTACCCATTTCCACTTGGGATTTTTGCAAGCTACCAACATTCTGTTTTGTTCTCTATCTCTTCCCAAGTTTATGAGAATAGGTGCTAAATGACTTGCGGGGAAGGCGCTAACCTTTCCTTGTTAGTTACAATTTAGACATTACTCAGCGGTGAGAGGAAAATGCAGCTTAAGTATGCGTTTGTCTTTTCATTTCCCCAGCTTGAGTGCAGAGGTTGCAGGGTTCACATACTAGGAGAAGGAGTGCTCCCTTTCCTACACATAGTTGAAATGGTTAAAGAATAACTTTTCCCACTCATGGAAATTGAACAGAGATCCTACTACATGTTTAAGTGGAGAATCATCACGTAATTGCATTAGGAACATGGTTTCACAATTGTCTACCCTTTGGCCAGATTGATGGGTGTCAATCTGCATAAGGTGACCTTGGGCATGCTACAGAAAACATCAAAGGGCTCCACATTATGGCTGTGTGGCAGAGCAGAGCTTGTAATCCAAGAGTTCACTTGGTCCCAGTTGGCTGAACCAACAAGGGATTCTTATCTGTTTTTAACACACCATTTACTTATAAATGTAAATATTGAAACAGTAACATACTACACAATGTGCTGGTGACTGAGCATGAAACAGTGCTCAGTGGGTGGGGCCAAAATCAAATTCTCTCTCACACACCCCTTTCAAACATTGACAGGTATGAGAATATGTATGTTGACTTATGAGACGACAACTTGTAATTCAATGTCTAAAGACAGAGTCTTGCTTTAAACAAATACACCTACAAAATTTGAAAGAGGGGCATTTATAGAATCCATTTTAAGACCTAGTCTATGCCAGGAGAACATATATAGCACAACAACAACAAAAGTACATTCTGTATTTTATTATGTACAGAAGAACCATATGATTACATTTTCTATGCTCGCTTTGGAAACAACTATCCAAAGTTGGCAAGACAGGTAGCAGCTATTGATTGTATCCTGCATTTAAAAATCAACAACCATACAGCTACATTTAATTTTAAATGCTTAGAGCCAGAGAAATACTAATTTCTCCATAATTCAAAACCTGTAGCTCAGGCTTATATGGATTTTCTTATGTCTGGAATGAGGACACTGCCATTTCATGTAGTATATTTACCTGTCCACTGTTCTTCAATAGCTTTGACTTGCTCATCTGTAAACTTCCAAAATTGTGCCAGTTTTGCCCACTCACGCATTTTTAACTGGTTGTAAGCAAGATTCCAAAGGGAGGAACGAATTTGTTTGGTCTGCACACCGTGATCTTGTTTAAAAGACAGAATATCATTTTGCGGATCATCACCACTTTGAAGTTGCTCCTGGAAAGAAAGTTAAAGATGAAGCCATGTGGTTCTTCCAATAACAGGGCTCCCCTCCCCCAATTATTAAAAATATCCCTGGCTTTGAATCTTAATGCTTTTCCAAGGCTAGCCCTGATATTGATTGCATCAAGAAGCATGACATACTACACCCCCAAAGGGAAAGAATTGGAGGAGGACACAACAACAGATTGTAAAAACAAACCAACCAATAACCAGGGTTCGCTGATACAGGGAAACAGGATACTAGGCTCCTGTTTCCAGCATTTCTCATTGCAAACACTTCTACCTCTGCTCTGCCTATACAGAATGACAGACATGATTAGCCCCCAACTTACTTTATACAGTGGTGCCTCGCAAGACGAAATTAATTCGTTCCACAAGTTTTTTCTTCTTGCGAGTTTTTCGTCTTGCGAAGCACGGTTTCCCATAGGAATGCATTGAAAATCAATTAATGCGTTCCTAGGGAAACCGACTTCAGACCAGGTCCGGGGACAGTCTGTCCCCCGACCTCTTCTGAAGGCTGGGGGGGGGGGACGGAGGGCTTTTCTTCCCACCCCCAGCATTTTAAAAAACCCCGGGACAGCGGAGGACTTCTCCGCTGTCCCGGGGCGATTTAAAAGCCCCCGGGAAGGCAGGCAGGGGGGACAAAGACTTTTGCCCCCCGCCAGCCTTCAGAAGAGGTCCTGGACCTCTTCTGAAGGCCGGCGGGGGGCAAAAGTCTTTGCTCCCCCCTGCCTGCCTTCCCGGGAGAGCGGAGAAAGGCAGCGCGTTTCTCCGCTGTCCCCGACGGCTTTTGAAGGCAGGTGGGGGGGAGCAAAGACTTTCGCCCCCCGCCCGCTTTCAGAAGAGGTCCAGGATCTCTTCTGAAGGCGGGCGGGGGGCGAAAGTCTTTGCTCCCCCCGCCTGCCTTCAAAAGCCGTCGGGGACAGCGGAGAAACGCGCCGCCCAGGGCGATTTTAAACCCGCTGTCCCGGGTTTTTTTAAATGCTGCCGGGCGTCAGCGCTGCCGCCCGGCAGCATTTTAAAATCGCCCCGGACAGCGGAGAAGTCCCCCGCTGTCCCGGGGTTTTTAAAAAACCTCTCCGCCCCCCTGCCAGGCTTCGGAGCAGCCTTCCAAAGCCTGGCGGCGGGAGGAGGTCCGAGGACAGTGGGGAAGAGGCGCTGCGCTTCCCCGCTGTCCCGGAGATTTCCCTATGGGCTTTCGTCTTGCGAAGGAAGCCCATAGGGAAATTCGTTTTGCGAAGCGCCTCCGCGACGGAAAACCCTTTCGTCTAGCGGGTTTTCCGTCTTGCGAGGCATTCGTCTTGCGGGGCACCACTGTACTGCTATCCCCCTAAGGCATTTGTTTCCAGGAAGCAAACAAGTGAGACATTTATAAATGCTACAGCTTTGACAGTGATAGCAGAGGTGAAGCAAGAGAAGAACATCAGAGAGTCACTCTCACATATAGCAACTTGGTAGGCAATCCAAACCCCTCTCATCTATTTATATTCTCAAGGAATGGGCAGAAATCAAAACACATTGCTAGAGGCAAGATACTGCCAAACATACACTACACGTAATATATATGGTGTACACTCTTCAACCTTGTGTGAGGCCTCATGCCCAATAGTACACCTTAATTTATGCATTCATGAGCATGGCCAAAAGTTTCCATACACCAGATCTTGCAGACCTAGATTAGATCATAGCCTATTCTGAGTTCACAGGTGCTGGACCATGTTGCATGGTTCATTAGATACTAAATAAACAATTTCAGTATCACACTTCTAGAATATTAATGCCGTTAGAGATTCACGATCTTAAATCAGGGCTTTTCAGCCTGAGAATCACATTCCCTTTCAGGCAACATTCTGGGTTTGTTGACTTATCTTGTACAGAAGGGCTGCACAAAAAGTTTAGAGGTTTCTACATTCACACATCTCTGCATCTTGGCAAGTGAGAACCCCTTGTTCTGATTAAAGACAAAACACATCTCTGCTCCACCTCTGCACAGCACGGATTGGCTGGCCCTTGTTTCAATCTTGAAGCCACTTCAAGATAAATTTCAAGATAAATTCAAGATAAAAAGTTATTACTTTTTCTAGGAACAAGCATTTCATCAGACATATATACAATGGTTTTTGTTGTTGGTTTTTAACCAGCCCAATGCAGGCAGAGTGTGCTTGAAACATTAGAGGAGGAGCAAAGAGGAAGACACAATCTGTGTTCACGTTGGAGGCCGTGCTTTGAGGTGTGAAGGTGGGGGAAGCAGAATTCACCCCACAGTAGAAAAACCTGCTGGTATACCTAATGCAGCCCCAGTCAATTTCCAGGTCTAGTTTTCAATAGGCATACAGATGCAGCAGAAGGTCAGCAGTTCGAATCCCCACAACGGTCCCAGCTCCTGCCCACCTAGAAGTTCAAAAGCACATCAAGTGCAAGTAGATAAATAGGTACTACTCTGGCGGGAAGGTAAATGGCGTTTCCTTGCACTGCTCTGGTTTGCCAGAAGCGGCTTAGTCATGCTGGCCACATGACCTGAAAGCTGGACGCTGGCTCCCTCGGCCAATAAAGCGAGATGAGCACCGCAACCCTAGAGTCGGTCACGACTGGACCTAATGGTCAGGGGTCCCTTTACCTTTTAAAGGACTGGACTAAGCTTGAGATACTAAAAAAAGCAAAAGCAGTAATAGTTCATTTTCCCCTTCTGCACAAGGGTATCTCACGGCACCTTCACATCATAAAGGACAGAATTTGAACATGACACTGAATCCTGGCCAAAAAAAGACCTCACCAAACCCATCTGTATATTTGGCTGAGATGGAGCACACAGACTCCCAGCTTGCCTATGTTGAATGGAGGTTACAACAGATGCCATTATGGATTTACTCAGAAACCCAGACACTGCTCTGCTTCCCTTGACCAGCAGCTGTTTGCTGTGAAATGTTCTCCTGCCCTCCTTTGCCCATTTCTGTTGCAAATGTCTGCAGACAAATATCCATCTGATTATCACCAGACTCAAAGCCATTCTCTCTGGTAAAGAACACAGCCTCCTCCTCCCCCTCCCAGCTCAACCTTGTTTCCCCATATGGAAGAGAACTGCGAAGACCTGCACTTAAATAAGCATGTAATTAACCTTGCGACACATTATAAAAGCCAGCTAACTCCAAACTAATCTAAGCTGAATCTGTACTTTGTGTTCCCTTCCTGCCCTTTCCTCCATTCTCTGTTTTATTTAATAGAACAAAAAACAAGAGCTTCAAGTACACCATCTCCATAATGGAAAGCTCTTTGTTTCTGCAGTAAAAGTGGCATTCCTTTTCCCTCAATCAATATGTTTGCCTATTTCCCATATTTCTTTTCCTCATGTCCTTCCACAGAGCTTGGCAGCTTGATTTTATCCTCAACACCCCCTGCGTGGTACGGGACAGTGCCTTGCTGAAGGACATCAGTGAGTTTCATGGCTGAATGAGTTGCCAATGTCTACATTTTAGGGACGCGGGTGGCGCTGTGGGTTAAAGCCTCAGCACCTAGGACTTGCTGATCGAAAGGTCGGCGGTTCGAATCCCCGCGGCGGGGTGCGCTCCCGTTGCTCGGTCCCAGCGCCTGCCAACCTAGCAGTTCGAAAGCACCCCCGGGTGCAAGTAGATAAATAGGGACCGCTTACTGGCGGGAAGGTAAACGGCGTTCCGTGTGCTGCGCTGGCTCGCCAGATGCAGCTTGTCACGCTGGCCACGTGACCCGGAAGTGTCTCCGGACAGCGCTGGCCCCCGGCCTCTTGAGTGAGATGGGCGCACAACCCTAGAGTCTGTCAAGACTGGCCCGTACGGGCAGGGGTACCTTTACCTTACCTTTACCTTTACATTTTAGCCACTGCAGCATACTAGTTCTGTAAAAAGGAGCACGCCAACAATACCCTGATTTTTAGGATCTGTATCCCAGTTGGAGCTTCATATTTTATCTCTATCTTCTACTTCTGTTTCATAAGCTGCACAAGGAGGACTTGAATGTGCCCATTCATGCACAGTATTTCCAAAGTCCTGTGGCATCATGGAAGTTGTAGTTTCCAAGAGCCATGTGATCTGTCCTGCAGGATCTCTGACCTTGCTGCAGGCCAAACTGTTTTCATTGGGCCCGCGTAGTTCCACAGGGGCAATGGGAGGGTTGAACATAATCCATATTATGTGGCTAGCCTCAGACACGAAATAAACAAATGGAGCCCAATCACCTGCACACAAAAACCCCACAATTTCATTATGTGGCCAGCCAACACACCATGTTCACTTTAAAAGGTAAAGGGACCCCTGTCCATTAGGTCCAGTCGTGGATGACTCTGGGGTTGCGGTGCTCATCTCGCTTTATTGGCCAAGGGAGCCAGCGTACAGCTTCCGGGTCATGTGGCCAGCATGACTAAGCTGCTTCTGGCAAACCAGAGCAGCGCATGGAAACACTGTTTACCTTCCTGCCGGAGCGGTACCTATTTATCTACTTGCACTTTGATGTGCTTTCGAACTGTTAGGTTGGCAGGAACAGGGACCGAGCAACAGGAGCTCACCCCGTCGCGGGGATTTGAACCGCCGACCTTCTGATCGGCAAGCCCTAGGCTCTGTGGTTTAGACCACAGCGCCACCCGTGTCCCATATGTTTACTGTAGTCGCTGCCAAGAATGCCACTGCAAACATTCTAAACATGTGCTGTGACAATGCCAAAGCATGAGTGTGTACTCACCTTAATGAACCATTCAGACAATCAGACTGTAACATAATGCAATTTGGGCAATAAAAGGTGCATGAGTATGCAAATAATTCCCCCAAGGGGGGAAACCTCCCCCCGCCTTTAAACCCAGCCACAGCAGAAGGTAGATTGACAGAAAATAAAGAAGTCTCCAAAGCTGCAATCTTAAACATATTTACAAGGGAACCCCAACAAATACGGCGGTACTAACTTTTAAGTAAATATGCACCAGATTGTGCTGTATGGAAAGGATCTTTGGGTAGGCAGAACATACTGATTTTGTCCGCCATTTCCCATACAGTCCATTAAGAATGGGAAGCACCGAGTTCATCAGGATGCCAAGAAACTTCAGAAAGAGAGCTCAGCATCTAACTCAACATGCTGTTGGATAACAGTGAATACATAAACAAAAGATGCAATGGAAATAAGAAAAAGAAATGCCCACTTTCTCTCTAGCATTTTCTAGCCCCTTTACAAGAAAGCCCACATTAGAGTTTGGGAATCCAAAGCCATTAGATTAACATCTTTTGGAAAAATGGTTTCATTTATTGGATAAATATGTGTTAGCAAAAGGATAAATAAACCAGAGGTTTTTTTTTTACCTGTTTCCAGGTGTAATATCTTTCTGCTTTTATAATCATATCTACAATCAAGGCATGATTGCTCCTGGAAGCTACAGCTAGTGCAGTTTTTCCTTGCTGAAAAGGCAAACAGTGTGAATCAATTACAGCTTGAGAAAACAGAGGCCAAGCTAAAAGAGGTTAGCAGCTTCATCTTTTAAAAACTGAATTTTGAAATATTAACAAACACAAAAAGGGGAAACGTATACAAAAACTAAAGTAAGTAGGATCTAAGAGCTCATCCAAAAAAAAAATCTCTCTTCAATATTGGGAACTAATGGTGTACTAATATCAGGCAAATTATAATACACTTTTCCATTAACGGTGCAGTGTTTCGCTTATTACATTAACTTGTTTACTGTCAATGTTACAGGATATGGATAGTGGAAAATCAAAGCAACAAGAACAAACTGTTAGCAGGTTCTATAATTATGTGTATGACTACTATCCCAGAGCATGAAACACAGTATCCAGGCGTAGGGAAGAGCACAATATAATGGGTATTTCAAATTCGTAAAAATTTAAATTATTTAAAGTATTTATAGGCTGCCTTGTGGGGTCCAGCTCTCATACAGCAGTTTCCGTTATAGAAATTAATCACAATAAGAAAAAACACACATAAACATAAGGAATTGTTCACACAGTGACTATGTGCAAACCCACAAGCAAGGACATGAGTACAATAGCACACTCCTGCTTGTGATCCCCAGCAACTGGCATTCAGGAGCATGGTGGCTTATCTTCCATTAAGTTCTCCAATTCCCTTTGGAAGATTTATATTATAATCCAAACGCACTCATTTTAAGCTTAGGTTTGGCTGCCTGTCATGATACTGTTGCCAAACGTGGCCTAAGTGTTCCAGAGGTGGTGGTGGTGGGAATCTTCACTGATGTCCGGATGCCGGGCACCATTTTGAATCAAGATGGCAGACTGAAATATAGTTTTGGCATGGTTTCACCTACTTTTTGGCATAACGGGTACAAACTAAGGTGGTTTGGTTTCCTCTGAAGATACCGTTGCTGCATTTGGTGGGTCTTTGCCAAATCCGGCATGACAGTTCCAACATGCATCAATCTGGATGCCTCTTGAGAAACCAAACTCAGCATGAGGGTTCCCAAGGTAGAGGCAGCAGACTTCGTTTACATTCGGATGCCAGGTGCCATTTTTAATCAAGTTGATGGACCAAATTAACCCTAATTAAATGCTATCTCCTCCCTTCCATCAAAAAGCAATATAATTCAGGGTCAAGTGCTCCCCGGCTTAGGTTGGAGCCCTGGGATGTGGGGCATGTGTCTATAGGCATGTGCATCTGCACAGCTCCCAAACTCACAATCCTTTTTAAAAGGACATTTTTGGGGGTCCTTTGACTTCCCAGGGAGCACCAGCACTCTCTGCTAACATTATTCCAAGCCATGGTTTAGCACAATGTGTGAGTATGGCCATATTCTCCTGTCTCATATCAGGCTCTAAACCAATATAATAATTACTGTATTGCATAGCTTGAAATTGTTCTTTGCTTAGCTTTAAGAAATAAAATAATAGATTACGTTAAACAGAGACATGGGGATTCAATATAATGGTAAGGTGATTGTTCTGTCAGAGCAAGCATTTCAGCTAGCCAGACAGGATGATCTCCCCCTCCTCTCCCCCTCCTCTGTGTTCCAGGGGTTCTCCCCTCCCCTCCCCCAGTCAATTGTGGGGGGTGGGGGCAGAGGGGTGAGGAGAGTAGGGAAGCCCCGTTACACAAGTGGAAGTCCTTGTGCAGGGCCCCTGCTGATAGGACTTATTAGCTCAGGGGTAGGCAACCTAAGGCCCGCAGGCCAGATCCGGCCCAATCGCCTTCTAAATCCGGCCGGAGGACGGTCCAGGAATCAGCATGTTTTTACATGAGTAGAATGTGTCCTTTTATTTAAACTGCATCTGTGGGTTATTTGTGGGGCCTGTCTGGTATTTTTACATGAGTAAAATGTGTGCTTTTATTTAAAATGCATCTCTGGGTTATTTGTGGGGCATAGAAATATTTCTTCCCCCAAAATAATAGTCCGGCCCACCACATGTTCTGAGGGACAGTGGACCGCCCCATGGCTGAAAAAGGTTGCTGATCCCTGCATTAGCTGAATCCTGCCCCAAATCACTTGACTTTGCTTAACAGCTCTGATAACACAAGTTCGTAAAAAAGTGAAATTCTTTACTAACAATGGCTGCTTTCACAGTGCTGCACATCAGTCTCTCCTCAGCCAGCCACTGGCTGTTCTGTAATCCAAGTACATCCCAGCTACTGACAGTTCAAGGCCACACATAATTCTGTGACTTTACCGGGTTATCTCAGTAATCCTTTTATGTGAGTGGATTTACACGGAAAACAGCTGTCCACAACATAAATCTTCCAGAGTTTCCATGTGCTAAAGAGCTAAAGCCGTGTGAGAGGGAAATTCATTCCATTGCGTTAGGTGTAATCTACCCTAGACTTACGACAGCGGTGCCGGTGGCACAAACAGGGGCAGAGAGAAGGCAGGTGTATGCCTTACCAAGGGACAGAAGCATGCTCCAAGTGCAGTGACATAAGAATGAAGAAGAGCCTGTTGGATCAGGCCAATGCTCCATCTACTCCAGCATCCTGTCTCACATTGCCCAGCCAAACACCTCTAGGAAGCCTGCAAGCTGGATGGGAGCATAGCTGCACTTTGCCCACTGGCAATTCCTAGCAAATGGCATTCAGAGACATGCTGCAACAGAAGCCTTTGCCCCACAGAATGAGGGTCACACGAATAACCAGAACAAACATATGCATATTTGCTTGGAAGCAAATCCCATTACGATCAGTGGGACTCACTCTTTGAAAGTGTGCCTGAAAGACATTTCACCATTTCATATCTAGGATTGGTCCCTAGTTTTACATTAAAGGTAAAGGGACCCCTGACCATTAGGTCCAGTCGTGGCTGACTCTGGGGTTGTGGCACTCATCTCGCTTTATTGGCCGAGGGAACCGGCGTACAGCTTCCGGGTCATGTGGCCAGCATGACTGAGCCACTTCTGGCGAACCAGAGCAGCACACAGAAACGCCGTTTACCTTCCCGCTGGAGCGGTACCTCTTTATCTACTTGCACTTTGACGTGCTTTCGAATTGCTAGGTTGGCAGGAGCAGGGACCGAGCAACGGGAGCTGACCCTGTCGCAGGGATTCGAAATGCCGACCTTCTGATCGGCAAGTCCTAGGCTCTGTGGTTTAACCCACAGCGCCACCTGCGTCCCTGTTTTAATTAGGTCATTCCAATCTCTTATTTTTGAAAAATCATCATCATCATCATCATCATCATCATCTATTTATTTCTATCCCACCTTTTTCTCTGACAGGGACTCATTCCTTTGGTACCTAGATAATGTTCATCTTGCTGGATCCATGTCACAGAAAGCACAATGCACGAAAGCATTAATTGTGGGCCAAAAGAGTTATTGCCGAGTCTTGGTTGGGCTACTCCAGATTTTTTACTTAAGGCGCTGCATAATAAATTTAAGTAACATTCTCTTCTCAGACACTCCACCAAATCACTCCTATTGGGCCTGCCTTTTAGGTCAGTAACTTAAATGTGAATGGATAGGCTTAACTTCCACAATAGAACTTGACTAATGCAGCTTTAATAGCCTGGGCCTTGGCTCCCATAGAAGCATTCAATTTGGCTCAGTCATCTATGCATAGAATGACTTACGTGGCTTCATCCATGCAGACATTGATCTGGGTTATTTTATTTTATAGCATTTATAATATTTCAAAAATCTCTAAGGTGTTATGTATGATTCAGGGATCATGGATTATTTTGCTCCCAGGAAGCACAATCTGTAGCTAAGACTTGTTCTTAGTTTACTGATCATGATTTGTTTGTCTCCTTGACATAACGCAAAGCCAGGGACCATGATTTTTTTCCTCCTCATGCAATTCTGAGGAGAAAACCCATTAACTATAGATTACCATGACATGTGAACTGGACCAGTGTGACTTACATAGCTTTGTATTTTTTTATATTTGGGGAATGCATGTCCCAATAGAAAGAAAAAGTTTAGATGCACCAAGGCACAATTGGATGAGAGGCTTCAAAATGGCTGGTAAATGGAACCCAATGAATCAGAATGTGAAAGTGTTTCTCTGAAAAGGAGTTTTTAATATCTCACTCAGCCTTTCAAAAGGAAAGAACAGTAAGTACTGTATGTTTGATCTCACAGGTTGCTTACTATTGCCATGCACTTGTAGGTTTTAAGAGAGAAGTTAAATCAAGAGTTATATATATCAGTGGGTGATATTTGAAAAGAGCAGCCTGTTCTACAGAACAGGACATGTAGAGCAATTGCATTTTCACAGAAACACGAACAACAGAAAGTACCTTGTCCACAATTTTCAAGTCACAACCTGCCTTTAGCAGCATTTCAATTACTTCCACATTTCCAAGGTCTGCTGCCAGGTGTAAAGGTGTTTGATGTCTCTTGCAGAAATAAGACAAAGCAGAAGAATGTTATCAAGGAATGCCCTCTACTAACAAAAACGTGGCGAAAAAGTCAGTTGGTTGTACAAAGCTAAGTTCAACTCAGAGCAGACCCATTTTGATGAATGGACCCATATTAGTAATGTCCGTTGCCTTCAATGGGCTGTATTCAACATAGTGCTAAAGAGAACGTTGCAACATCAATGGAATGTCCTCCCTGCTTTCCTCCCCCATGATTCTCTAAATCTATTCTAGGTAGACTTGGGGATGGCACAGGACACACAGGGTGGGAAAGCCTATTTCACTAGCACTGTTCTTCATGCGAGTGCTAAGAATGGAAGGACCTGTCAATTCCAGTTGTCTCACTTTCTCACTTTTCCCATTTTAAATTTAGTTCTCCACATCCTGCAGCAATTTGTGATTTTTAAAAAAATGAAACCTTATGAAAATTCATCAACATTTTTGTGTGAATTTCTTCTAACACACACAATTTTGACTAATGTATACATTTTTACAAGCAATTTGTTCCAATCGAACGGATTTTTGTACAGTGGTGCCCCGCAAGACGAATGCCTCGCAAGACGAAAAACTCGCTAGACGAAAGGGTTTTCCGTTTTTTGAGTCGTTCCACAAGACGAATTTCCCTATGGGCTTGCTTCGCAAGACGAAACGTCTTGCGAGTTCTTGCAAGTTTGTTTCCTTTTTCTTAAAGCCGCTAAGCCGTTAATAGCCGCTAAGCCGTTAATAGCCGCTAATAGCCGCTAAGCCGCTAATAGCCATGCTTCGCAAGACGAAAAAAACCGCAAGACGAAGAGACTCGCGGAACGGAGTAATTTCGTCTTGCGAGGCACCACTGTATGTTGATTTTCACTGATATCTTCGTTTTTATGCGCACTTTCCCCTCATATTTTTTTGCATTCTTGTAACCATAGTTTGTTTGAGAACTGTACTGCAATATTCAGTTAAGTGCAAATTTCAAAGGATGGCTCTGTTTTGGTTCCCATGTTGTTTCAGAAAGTGCAAATCTGATATATTTTGCTTTAAATGTGTACAGAATTCCTCACAGCAAAGAGGCCTTGCCTGAATGTTAGATTTATATGGTGTAAATTGGGTTCCCCCAAAGTTACTCCATTATTCATTTTATAATGCAATCCTATGAATGGTCTACTCAAATGTTCTAATCTCTTTGGGTTCTTGCAAGAACATCTCTTCCCCACACCAATGATCCAGCGGATATTTTGATATATTTTCTATCTGGGGTCTAGGAATATGTCTAAAATAAGTTCTTGATCTCAATTTAAAATGATAAATGTGATGTTGACCCATTGTTTTAAACACAAATTGTGCACCAAAGCACAGGGTTTCAAAAGAAAGAGGGGATTTCCAGAAACAGTAATTCATTTGGGGAGGGAAACCTAGCTTTCCCCTGACAAATGTAATTATACTTAATTGATGCACAAAGAGAAGATGGTGCACCTGTAAGGTAGAAACTTATGAGGAAGGTAGGTAATAAATCCTGCCATCTTCACAATAAAACAGGCTGGAGATATTTCCAACAATGGCAGCTGGAGGAGGGAGGGGAAGATTTCTAAGGAAAGGTAAGATACAGCCTTGCATATATACTGCATACAAATATTTGCTGGCTGGGACTGATGTAGTCCAAAATATCTGGGGGCACCAGGTTGACAAAAGCTGTTTTAGACAGTCGAGGTCTATGCTATTAAAACAGGCAAATGTGGTGAGAATACAGAATCTAAGTGCATCCTTTGACATTATCAAAGTACTGTAGTAACTGTACAGAGTACAGTGGTACCCCGCAAGACGAACGCCTCGCGAGACGAAAAACTCGCAAAACGAAAGGTTTTTTTCGTTTTCGAGTTGCCTCGCAAGACGAATTTCCCTATGGGCTTGCTTCGCAAAACGAAGCTTGCCCCGGGGACAGCGGGTCTTCTCTTTTGAAGCAAGGGGCGGCGGGGAGATCGCTTCTCCCCACCGCCCCTTGCTTCAAAAGAGGTCTGCCCCCGGACCTCTTTTGAAGCAAGGGGCTGCGGGGAGATCGCTTCTCCCGGTGCTCCGAAGCGGGGTGGGGGGGCGGGAACACCTGCCCCAGCCACCCCGCTTCGGAACGCTGCTCCGAAGCGGGGTGGGGGGGCGGGAACACCTGCCCCAGCCGCCGGGCTTCGTAGCGCTGCTGCGAAGCCGGGCGGGGGGGGGGGCGGGAACACCTGCCCCACCCACCCCGCTTCGGAACGCTGCTCCGAAGCGGGGTGGGGGGCGGGAACACCTGCCCCAGCCGCCGGGCTTCGTAGCGCTGCTGCGAAGCCGGGCGGGGGGCGGGAACACCTGCCCCAGCCACCCCGCTTCGGAACGCTGCTCCGAAGCGGGGTGGGGGGGCGGGAACACCTGCCCCAGCCACCCCGCTTCGGAACGCTGCTCCGAAGCGGGGTGGGGGGGCGGGAACACCTGCCCCAGCCGCCGGGCTTCGTAGCGCTGCTGCGAAGCCGGGCGGGGGGCGGGAACACCTGCCCCAGCCACCCCGCTTCGGAACGCTGCTCCGAAGCGGGGTGGGGGGCGGGAACACCTGCCCCAGCCGCCGGGCTTCGTAGCGCTGCTGCGAAGCCGGGCGGGGGGCGGGAACACCTGCCCCAGCCACCCCGCTTCGGAACGCTGCTCCGAAGCGGGGTGGGGGGGCGGGAACACCTGCCCCAGCCGCCGGGCTTCGTAGCGCTGCTGCGAAGCCGGGCGGGGGGCGGGAACACCTGCCCCAGCCACCCCGCTTCGGAACGCTGCTCCGAAGCGGGGTGGGGGGGCGGGAACACCTGCCCCAGCCGCCGGGCTTCGTAGCGCTGCTGCGAAGCCGGGCGGGGGGCGGGAACACCTGCCCCAGCCACCCCGCTTCGGAACGCTGCTCCGAAGCGGGGTGGGGGGGCGGGAACACCTGCCCCAGCCGCCGGGCTTCGTAGCGCTGCTGCGAAGCCGGGTGGGGGGCGGGAACACCTGCCCCAGCCACCGGGCTTCGTAGCGCTGCTGCGAAGCCGGGCGGGGGGGGCGGGAACACCTTCTGAAGGCAGGCGGGGGGCGAAAGTCTTTGTCCCCCCTGCCTGCCTTCCCAGGGGCTTTTAAATCGCCCCGGACAGCGGAGAAGTCCTCCGCTGTCCCGGGGCGATTTTAAAATGCCGCCCGCCAGCATTTTAAGATCGCCCGGACAGCGGAGAAGTCCTCCGCTGTCCCAGGGTTTTTTAAAATGCTGGGGGTGGGAAGAAAAGCCCTTGTCCCCCCCCCCCAGCCTTCAGAAGAGGTCCGGGGACAGTCTGTCCCCGGACCTGGTCTGAAGGCGGTTTCCCTAGGAACGCATTAATTGATTTTCAATGCATTCCTATGGGAAACCGTGCATCGCAAGACGAAAAAACCGCAAGACGAAGAGACTTGCGGAACGAATTAATTTCGTCTTGCGAGGCACCACTGTAGTCACTTGGCATGTATCAAGCCAACTGATAATTTCCCCATCTTATTACAAATATAAGAACGTAACGCAGGTAAGAAAATATGAGATTTCATCTTATAAGCACAAGTTCTCACCTGATCGAGCGAGTTTATATCATGGTTAGCTTCTATTAAACTATTTACCACAGGTAGGTTATTTTTTAAGATAGCCAAATGGAGTGGAGGACTCTTTTGCTGTAGAGAGAGGAAAAAATTGTTACAACAGCATGATGAAAATGTCAAACCCAAGCATTCTTGTTCAGAAGAGATATTGCTTGACCACGTGTCCACACTTCAGGAAAAAATAATCCTTTGAGTAGAAGGAAGCCAAATTATTTCTGCCAAGAGAATTACGTTTGCCAAGTGTGCTGGCAATAAAAAAGTGTTATTTATAATGAACTGCAATGTAACAAGGTGATAAATGTGATGATAAATGTATGTATGTCAAAAGGAAGGCCCAATTAAAAACTGAACTCTTCAAATCCTGCTTTAAGTGTTTTTACTTAAAGGTTTTTTAAATAGTGGCTGGCCAATTGGTTCTTTCAAAGAGCTTTTGACAAAGTACCTCACCAAAGACTCCCAAGTAAGCTCAGCAGCTCATAGAATAAGATATGAGGAGAGTTCCTCTTTCAGATCAGGAACTGATTACCGTACTTTTCCGTGTATAACACGCCCCTTGTATAAGATGCCCCATAGTTTGGGGGACTCAAAATTAAGAAAATGGTCTGAACTGGGGTCTGAACTGCTTGCTCTACTTAAACTTCTGCCATTGTTTTAAACCGCTGTTTTTCTCTCACTGACACCCTCTGCCTCCTCTGCTCAAATTTCTGCCATTGTTTTAAACCGCCATTTTCCTCTCAGTGTACCTCCCTTCTTGCTGTACTCAATCTTCTCCCTCTTTCCTTAGCTGCCTTCTTTTTTCCTCAGCTTGGTGAAAGAGTTAAAGGATGCAGAGCCCTGAAATATTCCATAGTACTTTCACATAATGTATTTAATTCCTGGTGTTATGTGTTGTTAATCAACAAGAAGCTCCAACATCCATCCACTCAGTCTCCAGCTGAACAGGCTGACAGGCTTGCTCTTAAGATTCTATTGATCTAAAAAACACAGTAACATATACCAGCATGGGGGCTGTGTGCAAATGCATTTGCAGAATTAGAACAGGAGGGAGGAGGATGCATGAAAAGAGGTGTAATGGGGAGCTGGAAAAAGGAAGAAAGAGATAGGGAAAAGGGGGTGAATGTGATAATGAGTTGCGTCATCAAAGAGGAGCTGCAAAATATGAGAGAAGCAAACAGGTGCAGCCCCTAGTATGTACATTCATACATTCATATATATATACTCAAAGCTGGGTTTGCAATGTTCCTTTTTTACTTGTTCTATCCCCTGACAATACAATAAGATAAACACTCTGCTAAGGATGCAAATATGATAAAGGACAGGATATAAATGTAATAATAATCTATCAGCAAAATATAGGCATTTTCATGTAGCCTAAAACTGGGAGGGGGGAATAAATTAGGTAAAATGTTAATTAGCTACATAAACTAAGTTATCTTCTCAGTTTTTTCACTAAAGTTTCCATGTTTTAACACACTCCTGAGCCTTTCCTCAATTTAATAAAAATATGTTTTCATGCCAGTGATACATACCGTACGACAATTTTAGATTCAGTCTCAACATATTCCCTCTAGGAATGAAACCTGGATGAATTTTATCTACCATTAACAGCTGGTGGGAAATTAAGTAAATAAAATTGTACATCAGGGCTAGCCAAGATTTTAAAATGTGACGAAAAGCTTTTAATAGCAAACAAAATATGTTTCTCAGATGATACCAGCAAGAACTAAGTGTTTAACCACAAGAACTCTATGAGAGTTGAATCTAATGCTGATGACTTTGTATATAATCTCAGCTCCAAATGTGTTGGAATACAAACATATTTCTCTTTCGTTGATAATAAACGTGTTGATCGTAGATATACAACTGGCTGTAACAACAGGACAGCAACATACGGTCCTTTGCATAACAGTATCACTCTCCTACAGGAAGCTCTGCGTAGGTATTTCATTTGGAAATGTATGTGTTCTGATTTTTTTAAAAAAAATGTTGATGCTATTAGACACAATCCTGACACATTTAATTTTCACTGATTTCCATGAAAGAGTCAGACACATGCTAAACTCATTCCCATTGAAACCAACAAAGCTTAAGACGTTTTAACTTTAATTGGCTAGTTCTCATTATTTATACAATTTTCAGGAGAAAAGATAAGTTTCAAAGGGAGACTGCAGTTTGAAACCATTGAAGTACAATTCATCAACAGCCTTGATGTTGTCAACTGTGACTTATCACATTATGGCCTAGTTTGCACCTAACCCTAAGGCACAGTTGACATTAACTGTAGTTAATAAACCAAATATTTAAGGCAGATGTGCAGTTAAACCTTGGTGTATTAAGTCACAAAATAGTTAAAATCACTAGCAAGAACAGTCATGCCTTTAAATTTTCCATGGCTTTGTAGCTTTGGGGCAATGACAGTTCCTTAACCAGATTGGCACAAAATGCTAAGCTATGGTTAAAATTAACTAAAGTTTATAAACTTTATATAGGATTTGGCCGTAAATGTTCTGGAGCCCCAAGAACAGCCCAGAATAACAGGTATGGAGGATCTAGAACTGTGGGGGGGGGGAGGGGCTGACAGGGATCCCTCCCTGCAGAAAGACAGCTCAACATCTGAAGCAGAGGCAAAACGACCCCTGAGCCCCAAACGAGACCAGTCAGGATGAGCGCTTTGTTGCAGAAGAGGACTCCTTGTGAGTAAAGGACTAATCAGGAGTAGGGCCATCCTCGCAAGGACACTCTCTGCAGAAACCTCTAAGAAGCTGCAGCTGGGGTGTGTGGGATGGCAGTCTGGAAGCTATGGAAGATTTGATGTAAGGCTGAGAGAGCTGCTACTAGCACTGTGTCCAAGCCTCTGGTGACCTGCACCGCTCTTCTCTGGTGACCTGCACCGCTCCTGTTAGAACAACTGCTTGCCTGGATTTAGGATCTGGATTAGCCTTGGATGTTGCTGCCATATGTGCCCACAATATCCTTTGTTATCTGGAAGGTCCCCTGCAATCTGGGATCCAACTGTAAAAGGGCACTTAACCTTTAACCATAGTTAAACATCTGGGCTTGGCTCCCACATAATGCCAAGCTGTGGTTTAATAAGCCATGCTTTAGCATTATTTGCAAACCAGCCCTGTCTGTGTTAGCCAGCTTACCAATGTAAGGATGTCTGTATTATCAGCAGCAACTCCTTTGTCAATGACCTACCTTCAATAACGTAATCATCACTGCCTGAACTTTCTGCATTTCATTTCATGACCTTGTACCACTCCGGCAGGAAGGTAAACAGCGTTTCCGTGCGCTGCCATAACCTGATTTTTTTAAAAGTACTCACCTGAGGATGCACTCCCAGATCTATATTTTTATTGATAAGAAATGTGACCAAAGCTGTATGTCCATTCTGGGTTGCTATTTGCAATGCACTGGTATTGTGCTAAAGAAAAGACAATGGAGAGAAGTTTCTATTTCAAAGTAATTTTAAAAATAATGTTCTTTGGAGATATTTCAAGAAGCAGGTGAAATGATTAAGGAAACCAGTTTGCCACCATTCAAAGAACATGTTCTCTGGCTACAATCCACAAAGCTCTACCTCCAATGGCAGAGGAAGTACCGTATTTTTCGCCCTATAGGGCGCACCGGCCCATAGGACGCACCTCGTTTTTTTTGGGGGGGGGGGAATGAATAAAAAAAAATTATTCCCCCCCCCAGCCCCAGCTGCTGCCCCAAGTCTTGCGCGCCTCCCGTTCCGGAGGGTTCCCCGTCCTTCGGGCTGCCACTCCAAGCCTCGCGCGCCTCCCGCCGGGCTGGCAAGGTTTGCGGATAGCTTCCTGAAGCCTGGAGAGCGAGAGGGGTCTGTGCGCACCGATGCCTCTTGCTCTCCAGGCTTCAGCGAAAGCCTGCATTCGCCCCATAGGACACACACACAATTCCCCTTCATTTTTGGAGGGGGAAAAGTGCGTCCTATGGGGCAAAAAATACGGTAAGCCTCTGAAGACTAGTTGCTGGGACTCACAAGTAAGCAGAATTCACTCAGGTCCTGCTTCTAGGCTTCCCATAGGCATCTGATTGGCCACTGTCAGAACAGGATGCTGGACTTGATGGGCCTTTAGTTTGATTAACCAGTGGCTCTTTTTAACCTCTTAATGGCCTAACATAATATTATTTCCTGTTGTGGCTACTTCATACAAATGCCTCACCATATTAAAATGATGCAATACTACACGAAGCCCGCACCACTTTCTTATAACAGAAGGCTAATTGGTAGAATGAAGTCCATGAGACTTATGGATGTCTACTTTGAATAAGGTGGTGGAATGGATTTGGCCTGTGGTTCGCTATGGTCCAGTTAAGGTATCACAAGCTTGGCTCAAGAAACCATGGACCAAGAATAAGCCAAATGCTCCCTTCTTTCTCCTCCTCTTGTGCATCTGGTTTGAATGAAGATGCATGAAGATGCATAGGATTATGCTCTATGACATGGAAAGCAGAAAAATCATGATTCAAGAAAGACAGCCATTGCTTCTTCCCTTGGCAGCTATTCCACACCACTGATTTCAATTAGAATGCGAATGCTTATAACTAAGAGACACCATTAGCAAATAACTGGGCATTCCAGTTTACATGCTTTTTAAATCTTACTTAAGGGGGGGGGCAGAGTTTCCTTTCTGTTTCTGCCAAAAGAAAGCCTGGCATGTTTTCTTGAGCTTCCACAAGATGAGAGATTAAAAAGACTAAAGTTTATTCAGTTATAGATTATTTAAGCAATCTGTTTATATACTTTAAAAGTATCATTGTATTTGGTGAGGCTTACCGTAGTTTTCGCTCCATTACACACATTTTTTTCCTCCTAGAAAGTAAGGGGAAATGTCTGTGCGTGTTACGGAGCGAATGCTTCCCTCCTCCGTGGTTTCCAGCGGGAGAAGAGCCACTGAATGGGAAGGAGAGAGGCACAGAGTGCCTGCTTCTTTAAAGGAGCAAAGCGGGAGGGGAGGGGAGGAGGGAGAGAAGCAGAACCTGCTTGCTCCTGTCCAGTTGTGTAAGCGGCTCCTGTCCAGTTGGCTCCTTTAAAGCAAGCAGGCTCTCTGTATCTCCTCCAGCTTTGCTGGAAATAGCAGGAAAGATTTTCAGCTCGCTAAGGGCGGGGGGAGGGGAGGAGGGAGAGAAGCAGAACCTGCTTGCTTTAAAGGAGCCTACCGGACAGGAGTCGCTTACACTCCGGTAGGCTCCTTTAAAGCAAGCAGGCTCTATGTCCCTCCAGCAAAGTTTTTCAGCTCGCTAAGGGGGGGGGGGAAGAGGGAGAGAAGCAGAGCTTGCTCCACGCGTGCTCCTTGTCCCTTGAGTGCTTTTCCTTCCCTCCCCACTTAAAACATGGTTACAAAGCACAGATCCACATGGATCCTCAGGATTTTTGCACTGGGTCACCCCAAATTCACCATCAGATCACATAGCATGTCCATGGCTACAGTTTGCACCAAAAAAATCACGCACCCACTGTTGCCTGGGGCCGTAGTGGTGCAAAAACGTGGTTACAAACATGGATCCACATGGATCCTGAGGATTTTTGCATTGGGCTACCCCAAACTCACCGTCAGATCACATGTCTGTGGCCACAGCATGAACCACAAAAATCATACATCCACTGTTTCGTGTAGAATATTTTTTTTCTTGTTTTCCTTCTCTAAAAACTACATGCATGTTATGGTCGGGTGCGTGTTATTGAGCGAAAAATACGGTACTCTAAGATTAAGGGACGCGGGTGGTGCTGTGGGTTAAACCACAGAGCCTAGGACTTGCCGATCAGAAGATCGGCGGTTTGAATCCCCGCAACGGGGTGAGCTCCCATTGCTCGGTCCCTGCTCCTGCCAACCTAGCAGTTCGAAAGCACATCAAAGTGCAAGTAGATAAATAGGCACCGCTCCGGCGGGAAGGTAAACGGCGTTTCCGTGCGCTGCTCTGGTTCGCCAGAAGCAGCTTAGTCATGCTGGCCACATGACCCAGAAGTTGTACGCCGACTCCCTCAGCCAATAAAGCGAGATGAGCGCCACAACCCCAGAGTTGGTCATGACTGGACCCAATGGTCAGGGGTCCCTTTACCTTTACCTTACTCTAAGATTGATGATATAGGATAGGAGTCTAAGAATATCAACATACTTTGTTGGAAATATTGATGTCACTTCCGGCTTCCAATAACAGATCGGCACACCCTTCATGGCCTCCTTCCACAGCTAGGTAAAATGGGGTTTCACCATTCTATAACAAAACAATACAAAATGTTTGCACTTGTATTATAGACAATGCAGTGGTTCAATCTCAGACATGGCTGAGGGGAAAATGCTTGATTTGAGCCACAATGGTTTCCTCCGGTTCCTTTGCAAATGGCACCATGCTCATTGCCCAGATTAAAACCAAATTAGACACCAGAAGCAGATGAAATGGTGGGCAGTGGTGTTCACCTGGCCTCCAGGCAAATTTCTCCAAGTAAGGAAAATAAGGCTATTATCTTTTAGGTAAAAACCTCTGCGGCGCAAAACCCATCTCCAGGTAAGATTCCCAAAGTGATACTTCCATGAACATACATGAAAGATGTTATAGGTTGACATCAATGTGTGTATAGATACATGAACAAATCTTGCAAATTGTGGCCACATGCTTTGTTTTTACATCTTTATGTTTACCTCATTTAACTCGTTTATTTCTTTCCACTCTTGAAGAAGAACTTCTACCACCTCACTGTGGCCATTTTTAGCAGCCAGGTGCAATGCAGTGTTTCCTTCCTGTAAAATAACACATACAGAAATAAATTATACACATATAATATTCATTATCACCACTTAAAGCAGATATCCTTGGAGTAAATAGAAACTCTAGAGCACTGCTCACACGTCTATATGGGCACTATGCAATCTGGAATAGAACACAGCATTTTGAGTGCAGGTTATAAAAGTTAATCTCAATTTTCCCACCCTCCTTTTATCTATTCCTGTGTCTCTAATGGAATGGAAAGATTTAGGGATCATGGAAGGGTGTGATGCAAGAATCAAATGTCCTAGCTGACAGGGGTAGGCAGAATCCAAGCTAGTTAGATATATTTTCTTTTATATATATAAAAAATCCAGGTGGGGGAAAAATACTGTTTGAGTTACAGAACATGGTGTTCCATATTCCAAGGATAGGAATTTGTTTTCAGAATTAGAAGTGAACTGAGCTTTCACACAAGAGTCCACTCCTGGTTAGCTTTATTCATTTCAGCAGTCCAATTTATATAGTAATTGTTGTTTTGCTGTTGCTCTTGTTAAACAATTGGAAGTTAGAAACCCCTGCTGTTGTACTGCAAATCAGCTAGAAATCTACCAGCGGATGCCAATCTACCATAGGTTTTTCCCCTGCCCTACCAAAGTTGGAAAAAGGGTAAAAACACATATTTTAACCAACATTAGTTTTGTGTACTATAATATACAAAATACTAATCATGTTAATTCAGTATATTTCACCAAGTAGAGCCTTTTACATAAAATTAATTGGTTCAGTGCTTATCAAAACGGAGCACTAATTCTGAGCAAGATAATTTAGAACTAAGTTGATACAGATACAATGTTTTCTCACATAAGCGCGGCTACTAATAAACTTAAGTTTGGTGTGAAAATTGTAAAAAGGAACAGTGGCATACAAATATTCTAAACAGATGGATAAATGTAGCAGCATGGTATATTAAATGGTAAAGTGAAATTAAGCACTGTTCAATCTATCCTTTCCCCCGCTTAATTGCCAGAACTCACAGTGTTTTAATACAGTGTTTAACATGGGTAAGAAAGTACAGCTTTTAGTTGGAAATGCCACTCATTGCAAAATACCCAAAGGCAATAAGTATTTAATGGAATTCTTGTGATAAACTTACATTGTCCTTTTCTGATGTGGATAAGTTAAGGGAAATCAACTCATTGGTCATTTCTACATGGCCCATTTCAGCTCCAACAAGGAATGGCTTCCTACCTTTCTAGGAAACAGTAAATAATTAAGATGTCAGTGTGGAAGTAAAAAGCTCTTGTAGAAATTTTGTTAAGTATTACAGTGCCCTTACAAACGTACACACCTATATATGTGGCTGCAAACACCTATACAATTAATGATACATAACTGCTAAATACTTGGGTCCTAGCTCCACCGCTCCAAAACTTGTCAGTACCAGAAACAACAGAGGAGAAACTGGGCAACTACTATCATGGATAGATATGATGTGGCAACATGATGTATAAATGATGTAGTCTCTCTCTGGAAAACCTATATTGAGTTGGGAACCTGTGATCCTCCAGATATTGTTGGTCCTCACCTTTGATCAGCCCCAGTCACTATGGACCAGGGCCATCTTACCCATAGGCACTAGGGGTGTGGGGCACCTGGGCGCTGAGCTCTCAGGGGCGCCAGGCCGAGAGTCCGGGGCCTGATAGTTGAGTCCGGGGAAGAGCCCGCCCGTTGGCCAGAGCACCATGGCGGGCTCTTCTGCTGTGGGCGGCTCTGCACCGTGAGTTTGGGGGTGACCGAGCCAGTGAGATGCTGAGGCGGCCGGCCAGCTCCGCCCTCTTGTGTGCCTGGGACTGGGCAACCTGGGGGGGGCACCGGGCAGATCTTTGTACCCTGGCGCCGCATATACTTAAGACAGCCCTGCCATGGACAATGGTCAGGGGTGAAGGGAGTTGTATTCAAACAACATCTAAAGGGCCACAGATTCACCACCTCACCATAGGCAAAGAGGCAAAGGAAGAGATTGATTACCAGAAGTCCATAATTGATATAGAACATGATACAGTTCCCCTAGAGAGACTTAAGAAGATGGGCAATATCATCATGATGTTAGGAGAAAAAGATAAAAAGAGCAGCCTCGGCCCAGTATACCTGAAGGAGTGTCTCCACCCCCATTGTTAAGTCTGGACACTGAGGTCCTCCAAGAAGCGAAGTTACAAGGAACCAGGCAGAGGGCTTTCTCAGTAGTGGCGCCCTCCCTGTGGAACACCCTCCCTTCAGATGCCAAGGAGATAAAGAACTACTTAAGATTTAGAAGACATCTGAAGGCAGCCCTGTGATAAGCACCACAAAGGAAATTTTACTGTGACTATATGCATAGTTATCCTAGATGTTTTTTTTTTAAAAAAATATTCACAAAATTTACTAATGCTATCCAGAAATATCCACTAGCAAATAACCCATAGTATATTATATGCATGGTACCTCATCAGGCTTATTAAGATCCATCAAGTGAAGATCTTGGATAAAATAATCCACTATTCTAACATTATTGTTCCGGGCTGCAAAGTGCAGGACATTCATTCCCTCCTAAGGAAAAGACAGAACAGATTAGTAAAATGGAATAAAACATTCTTCTGTTGTGAAAAAATCTTAATGCTGTTTTATACCCACCACTAACAAACCTTGTTCTTAGCTTTTTGATCAGCGCCTGCTTTAATCAACATCAGCATTATGTCCAGATTTCCAGACCACGCAGCAAGATGAATTGCAGTAAGTCCATGCTCCAAATTTTTAAAAAAGAACAATTAAAATGCAGTTAAGTCGCAATACAATTCCAAACTGCTCTTTTCAATTTATACTTTGCGGCATTACAGTGGTACCTCAGGTTAAGTACTTAATTCGTTCCGGAGGTCTGTACTTAACCTGAAACTGTTCTTAACCTGAAACACCACTTTAGCTAATGGGGCCTCCTGCTGCCGCTGCGCTGCTAGAGCACGATTTCTGTTCTCATCCTGAAGCAAAGTTCTTAACCTGAAGCACTATTTCTGGGTTAGCAGAGACTGTAACCTGAAGTGTATGTAACCTGAAGTGTGTGTAACCTGAAGCGTATGTAACCTGAAGCGTATGTAACCTGAGGTACCACTGTATATAGTTAACGGACATGATAAATGGGGATTAGCTCGTAAATTCTACGGAATTCGTACAACATCATTTAAACCTGTGAGGCTGGGAGCATTGTGTGGGTTCTTTTGACAGCATGTATGTAGCTCTTTTTAAGTATTTCATAACCATTTTAATAAAGCTGTACAGTAGGTCAGCATTGTTTGGCATAGGAAGCTGAGGCTAAGAGATGGAGGCCTCTCCATGTAGGGAGTTCATGTGTGAGGTGACATTTGAATCAAATACTTAACAATTTTTATTGCACAAACCATTTTTTTAAGTTCATATATTATTTGTAGAGCTACCCTTAAAAAGCACTCACTGATCCCAACAACAGTCTGCTTACTTAATTCAACCACAGAAAAGTATCTAATAGCAATGATGTAGCAATGAGTGCATTTTTTTCTAATTATCCCGATACTATTATTAAAAAATAGCTACTTCTAAAGACATTATAGGTTAAAAGTCAAATCCATCTTGTTCTCTCTCTCTCTCTCAAAAAAAATTTAAAAAATCTTAGTACGCATAGACCTAACTCCCATGTTATTTGACATCATTTGCAAAGCAACTTTCAAAATGTAAATGTAAGTGGGACAATTAAAAAAAAACTAGTACAGTAATTTCACTGCCCATCTAGGTTTTCCATTTAAAACTGAGACAGCTCTTGATTTTGCCTGATATAAAGCAACCTTTGACATTTTGTGCTCTTTTTTTTCTTGCTTGAATGTGTTTAAACTAGCAAATATATGCAGAACACCTGAAACAAAAAAGTTAATTTTTATTTCTTATTTTTAATGAAGATGTTTCTGAGGAACATATTAACATTTCAATATGTTTCCATTTTAAAAAAATGACTCTTTTCCCCCTTCAAATACTGTGAGCAAAAAAAGACTATCAATGCCAGTGTTCCTAAAAAATATTCCTATTTGTCTGTGTCAACAATAAAAAAGAACATTTTTTGTTTTGCATACCTTATCTGCTACATCAACTCTGGCTTTGTGATGGAGGAGAAAGTCTACTGCAGATACATGATTTCCTGCAACAGCAAAATGGAGTGCTGTGCGCTTCAGCTAAAATAAGAAAATAAAAGTGACAGAATAACACTGAAGAGCTTTAAATCTTCTGGTCAGTAATAAAAGCAAAATTTTCAGCATCTAGTCTAGACATTCCCAAATTTCAATTCCTTTTCTTTTAGTACTGGTCAACAACAATTTGATTTGGATTTTCATTAGAAAATTATTTTCCCACAAATATATGTGAATTATGATACCTTTAAATATAAAGAGTAAGTACAATAAACTCAATAGGCTCTGCCAAGCAGGTAAATATTTGTAGATAACAGTCTGTGGAAAAGTAAAATATTTGTTCATAAGGACGCTAATTAATATATGCAAATAACATTGTTTTCACAGGCTCCACTGCCAGATGCCCAGATAAGAATAGAGGTACCAGCAAACTGTTCTTAAGTGCTGTGCTACCATTTCCGCGTAAGTGTTGACATTGCATTGTGTGTTTATGACATTGCTCTTAGCCCAAGCTGCTCTTATAACCCAGCGCCTTTAACAGTTGTATGGAAGAGGGAATTTCAGCTGGTGCAGCTTGGGCAACAAACTCCTCCTCCTCCTCTCTTTCTTTCTTTTCAATATTTTTATTCCACTCTATCATACAACAATATCACAGCCGTTTGCAACAATATAAAAAAATCCAAATCCAAACAATAAAATCAGAAGAAGTTAAAAACAACTTAAAAGCAAAAAGAAATTAGAAACAAATAGGAATAGACCATTGAGGATGATGCTCAAATTCTTGCTCAAATTCCATGTTGTACATGAGTATTAAAGGTTCAGGTGTCCTATCCTGTTCTTTTACCTCTCTTAGTTAGTGGGACGCGGGTGGCACTGTGGCTTAAACCACAGAGCCTAGGGCTTGCCGATCAGAAAGTCGACGGGTTCAAATCCCCGCAACAGGGTGAGCTCCCATAGCTCGGTCCCTGCTCCTGCCAACCTAGCAGTTTGAAAGCACATCAAAGTGCAAGTAGATAAATAGGTACCGCTCCGGCGGGAAGGTAAACGGCGTTTCCGTGCGCTGCACTGGTTCGCCAGAAGCAGCTTAGTCATGCTGGCCACATGACCCGGAAGCTGTACGCCGGCTCCCTCAGCCAATAAAGTGAGATGAGTGCCGCAACCCCAGAGTCGGCCACGACTGGACCTAATGTTCAGGGGTCCCTTTACCTTTCCTCTTAGTTAATTTATGATCCCGCCCTTAGGAGGTTCCCCCCCCCAAGACTGAGGATACTCAAGATCACAAAGATTAACCCTCCCACTTTTAACACTAGAATGTCACTCTGAAGAAAAATGTGCGTGTTTCTGGCATTGGGGAATCAGGACAGATTAGGGATTCTGCTGGTTTACCACCTGCCTCACTGCTCAGAGGTTTCCCGGCCTGAGTTGACAGAGCTGGTCTCAGAGGTGGTGCTGAGGACTCCCAGACTGCTGGGTCTGGAGGACTTTAACATCCATGCATGGGCATAGCCAGGATTTTTGTTAGGGGAGAAGGACTTTGCTGGGGGGGGCAGACCTTTTGTTGGGGTGGCAGAACCGATGTGATTGGTCACTTAGTTAAGTGTTTCTATTGATTAACTTGATCTGGGGGGGCAGCTCCCCCCCAGGCTACGCCCATGCATCCATGCCAAAGCGACTGGCTCTGGGGTGGCTCAGGACTTCAAGGCTCCCATGATGGATAATCAAGAATCTAAATTAGTCTATCTAGATGTCAGAAATCCAATAAGCCCTCATGTGAATTGGACAACAATAAAATTTAATGTCTCATTTAGGAATATCCAAGCGGCATATACTGGGCAGGATCACTTTTACAGAGTAAGCAGAATGCTTTGATCAATGAAGTCCATGGAATTTGACATGAATTTGAGTACGGCCTGAATTCTTAGTAGTCAACATGGCAATGCACTTTTTGCAGTCTCTTGAAATAAAAGTTGTTGAAGGAAATAAGAATATCCCTCCTGGATCAAAGCAAAAGCCGATCTAGTCCAACTTTCTGTTTTCACACCAGACAATGGCACTCTCCTGCTTGTGATCCCAAAACACATATTTGAAACATTCCCTTTAAGAGCAGTGTGTTGCAGTTAGGTAATCTTAGGCTTTGGAAATGATGGCGTTGCGGGGGTTCCCTGTTCAGATGGTAATGTGTATTATACTTACACTATTTACAGCATTAATATTAATTCTTTTCTTAAACAGTCTTTCCATTGTGTCCAGATTATTAGTTTTAGCAGCATGCTGAAATTCTTCTTCGTCTGGTAGCACTGCAAAACAAAAAGCACGGGACTTTTGAAATATTAAAAGAAATGGTCACAAAGTTAAATTTATGTGCTACATTTTTATCCCACCTTTCTCCAGAGTGGTGGACAGTGGTCCTTCTTTCCTCCTTCCCATTTTGTAATGGGAAGGGCCATAGCTCAGTGGAAAAATATTCGGCTTGAACACAAAAGTTCCTGGGTTCAATCCCCATCTTCTCCAGGAGCAGCATTGAGAAACCCCTGCCTGAAACCTTGGGGTGCTGCCAGTCAGTGTTGGCAATACCAAGTCAGATGGACTGATGGTCTCACTCGGTATAAGACAGCATATTATGTTCATCATAAATCTGTGAGGTGAGTAAGAATGACTGATGCAAGGATATCTAGTGAGCATAATGGTGTAGTGGTGATTTGAACTCAGGTCTCCCTAATACTAACCCAACATGCTAGTGTTGGGCTGGCCTCAACTAGAGTCAGGGCTTTTTCGGCTGTGGCTCCAATCTGGTGGAATGCTCTGTCACAAGAGACTAGGGCCCTGCCGGACTTGACATCTTTCCGCAGGGCCTGCAAGACAGAGCTGTTCCACCAGGCCTTTGGTCAGGGCACAGCCTGACTCCCCCCTTTGGCAATCTTCACAGAACTCTAGCCCAATGGTTGCTATCAATTTGATTTGAATTAATTTTATAATGAATGATTTTAGAATGTTGTACTATTTTATTGTTGTTAGCCGCCCTGAGCCCAGCTTCGGCTGGGGAGGGCGGGATATAAATAAAAATTATTATTATTATTATTATTAGTGCTCATGCCACATACCACTGTTATATTTGTATATTTCATGCAGTGAAAGTTAAATATATAACAATTATTTAGTATATAATAAATAGTTTATAATAAATAAGTGAAAAGGAGATTCAAAAGAAAAGAGGTTTTAAAAGCCAGATATTTGAGTGGACCTGTTAAATCTGACCACAGTACAGAAAACAAAATAGCACATACACTTTTATTTTAAAATGTTCCTATAAGAGAAAGAACCGCAACCACAGAGGTGGGTTCTACTGGCACAGCAGTGCTTCTGTTACTAGCCTGTAAAAACATTCATTTCCACCCTCACTAACAGCAACCAGAACCAAATTGTTAAGAAAACAATGGTTGTGACTCTACAAGGACCTCAGTTTAATGCTCTGCTTTATTGCATTTATTTTAAGCACTTCATTAATGCAGAGAGTGCAAGAGATCACTTCATATTCTATTGATATTACACACATGAAAGGAAAGAAAAAAGGGATGTTTGCTTGATTCTGGTCAAGGAGGGGAAAGGCAAATAGACCAGACAGACTGGTACTTCAGCATTCTCCCTTTCATGATGAATTTGATAGTGCCCCTTGGCCTACATTCCCTGCTTTCAGCCTGGTCTCCTATTCGCAAAAATAAGCCAGAGGAAAGAATAAGTAGGTAATTTAAAATATTCTATGGGAATTGTTTATATTTGAGGTTTCATTACTGCAGAGGCAGATAAAAAATAAGTACTCTGGCTTGGACAGAAAAAGTGCTCCTAAGAAGCAATTTCGTAGAAAGATTACCATAATAAAAGACAAAAGTGGAAAGGACCTAACAGAAGCTGAAGACATCAAGAAGAGGTGGCAAGAATACACAAAAGAAATGGATGCCTCGTATACCCCAGGTAGTGTGGTTACTGACCTTGAGCCAGACATCCTGGAGAGTGAAGTCAAATGGGCCTTAGAAAGCACTGCTAACAACAAGGCCAGTGGAAGTGATGATATTCCAGCTGAACTATTTAAAATTTTAAAAGATGATGCTGTTAAGGTGCTACACTCAATATGCCAGCAAATTTGGAAAACTCAGCAGTGGCCAGAGGATTGGAGAAGATCAGTCTACATCCCAATCCCAAAGAAGGGCAGTGCCAAAGAATGCTCCAACTACCGCACAATTGCACTCATTTCACACGCTAGCAAGGTTATGCTTAAAATTCTACAAGGCAGGCTCAAGCAGTATGTGGACCGAGAACTCCCAGAAGTGCAAGCTGGATTTCGAAGGGGCAAAGGAACCAGAGACCAAATTGCAAACATGCGCTGGATTATGGAGAAAGCTAGAGAGTTCCAGAAAGATGTCTACTTCTGCTTCATTGACTATGCAAAAGCCTTTGACTGTGTCGACCACAGCAAACTATGGCAAGTTCTTAAAGAAATGGGAGTGCCTGATCACCTCATCTGTCTGCTGAGAAATCTCTATGTGGGACAAGAAGCTACAGTTAGAACTGGATATGGAACAACTGATTGGCTCAAAATTGGGAAAGGAGTATGGCAAGGCTGTATATTGTCTCCCTGCTTATTTAACTTATATGCAGAATTCATCATGCGAAAGGCTGGGCTGGATGAATCCCAAGCCGGAATTAAGATCGCCGGAAGAAATATCAACAACCTCAGATATGCAGATAACACAACCTTGATGGCAGAAAGTGAGGAGGAATTAAAGAACCTTTTAATGAGGGTGAAAGAGGAGAGCGCAAAATATGGTCTGAAGCTCAACATCAAAAAAAAGAAGACCATGGCCACTGGTCCCATCACCTCCTGGCAAATAGAAGGGGAAGAAATGGAGGCAGTGAGAGATTTTACTTTCTTGGGCTCCATGATCACTGCAGATGGTGACAGCAGCCACGAAATTAAAAGACACCTGCTCCTTGGGAGAAAGGCGATGGCAAACCTAGACAGCATCTTAAAAAGCAGAGACATCACCTTGCCAACAAAGGTCCGTATTGTTAAAGCCATGGTTTTCCCAGTAGTGATGTATGGAAGTGAGAGCTGGACCATCAAGAAGGCTGATCGCCAAAGAATAGATGCTTTTGAATTATGGTGCTGGAGGAGACTCTTGAGAGTCCCATGGACTGCAAGAAGATCAAACGTATCCATTCTTAAGGAAATCAGCCCTGAGTGCTCACTGGAAGGACAGATCGTGAAGCTGAGGCTCCAATACTTTGGCCACCTCATGAGAAGAGAAGACTCCCTGGAAAAGACCCTGATGTTGGGAAAGATGGAGGGCACAAGGAGAAGGGGACGACAGAGGACGAGATGGTTGGACAGTGTTCTCGAAGCTACAAATATGAGTCTGACCAAACGGCGGGAGGCAGTGGAAGACAGAAGTGCCTGGCGTGCTCTGGTCCATGGGGTCACGAAGAGTCGGACACGACTAAACGACTAAACAACAACAAGAAGAAGAAGCAATATTCCAAAAGCCGAGAGTTTAAAGTATAATTTGCTTACTACTATGAGGATGTATTTGTTTTGGAGGAATGGCTTAATGCCACATCAGTGTTTCCTGCATCCTGGGTTGTGGTCTAAACCACAGAGCCTAGGGCTTGCCGATCAGAAGGTTGGCGGTTCAAATCCCCATGACGGGGTGAGCTCCCGTTGCTCAGTCCCAGCTCCTGCCCACCTAGCAGTTCGCAAGCATGTCAAAGTGCAAGTAGATAAATAGGTACCGCTCAGGTGGGAAGCTAAATGGCATTTCCATGCGCTGCTCTGGTTCGCCAGAAGCGGCTTAGTCATGCTGGCCACATGACCCGGAAGCTGTCTGCAGACAAATGCTGGCTCCCTCGGCCTATAGAGTGAGACGAGCACCGCAACCCCAGAGTCATCCACAACTGGACCTAATGGTCAGGAGTACCTTTACCTTTACGCGGATGTATTTGTTTTGGAGGAATAGCTGAATTCCACATCAGTGTTTCCTGCATCCTGGGTTTCCTGCATCAAGCAGAATGTAGGACTAATGGTCCTAATAAGGACCCAGCTCTATGATATGAATGAATACAGCCCTAAAGGAGCCTTGTAAGAAAAAAAAATGTATTGCTCTGAATTGTTTAAATTATTTGATTGAGGTATAGGAGATATCAGGGAGGACTGGGGTTGATTAAGAGGGAGTCAAAGCAGTTTGAAGGAAAGTATTCTGGCTGGAAACTTTAAAAAAATAAAAAATAGCCTTCCAGGACAATAATATGCTTACTTAACAACTAGGAATAAGCCCCACAAGACACTGACTACAGAGGGTGCATTCAGAACCCCATCTTAATACTGCAAATGGGTCATTCAGATAACACAAATAGGCAACAGGTTGGCAACTTAATAAAAAAAAAACTTATCAGATTTTCCATGTTAAAAAGGAAATCTGGATTAAAGGGGAAATGTTTTTATGTCTACAATGCCATGTGGGGTGCTGGAAAAAAAATGAATACATGACGAGCACCCATCCCATAATAAACACCAGCATGGAAGTACTCCTAGTAAACATGCAAAGGACTGTACTATTAATGAAGCATAGAAAGGAATGTGATTGAAGCTAACTGTAACAACTCAGTAATAATAACTGCCACAGTAGATGTTAATTTGTATTTTAGATATTTACAGCACAAAATATCCACATTGACTCCAAAGTCAATCTCATTCAGTTCAACGTGGCTTTCAGGACTGGAGCATTATACTTTCCCATTGCTGTAGGGTGTTCTAAGCTGATAGGGTAAGGTATATATTTTTTAAAACTTGAAAAATTAATTTTCTCAAAAGTAATTCCACATTCATGTTCCTCTTGCTGAGATAATATGTGCACTGTTTCCATTTTCACTTTTTATGAAAAATGATAAACCGTAGCCCAGTGTTTTTCAAACCCTTTTCATGTGGGCCTCAGTGCCACAGTCTGCCCAGTGCCTCCTCAGTTGCCTAATAATAATAATAATAATAATAATAATAATAATAATAATAATTTATTATTTGTACCCCGCCCATCTGGCTGGGTTTCCCCAGCCACTCTGGGCGGCTTCCATAAAAACCAAAGATACAGTAAAATATCACAGATTAAAAACTTCCCTGCCCCTTAGCTATGCCATAGCGCCTTTTGGTTGGACTTAATGCCAGCGCTGAGTACCGATGGCTGAGAAATGGAGAAGTTTGGGAAGGGAGACCAAAGTCTTCCTCCTCAGAGGGGAAAGGGCCAGAGTAGGTGTTGAAAGGGGGAAATATACAACCAAACAACCATCTCCGCCTGTATTTGGCTTAAGGAAAAGTGAGCTGTGGAACTCCTTGCCACAAGGGAAACATTGCAGGAAACAATTTAGCAATTTCCAAAGATGAATTAGGTTATCAGTAGAAAATGGTGTAATGGCTTCTTGATTGTGCCAAACTGCCTCCATCTGGTGAAAGTTCTGTTCCTGCATGACCAGCAGACATCAGAAGTGGTCAGCCACTTTTCGGCTGCTTGCAATATCTATTTATCTGCCTTATAGGATTATTATAAATATTACTGAAATAATGTCAGTGAAGCACTTTGAACTATATGAAAGCGGAATTACTACCAATTTTCAGCGGGAAAGTGGTGGAGGGAACGCATCCCAGAATATGCTGACCTTTCCTCTGCTCTTCCGGTGTTCCAGGACTGATCCCTGTTACTGAAAAACTTTTCAGGAGTCGACTCCTGCTTTTTATACCCTACAGAAGGGAATTTCTGAAATGGGAAGGAGGGAGGAGCTACCATTCCTTCCCGCTCCAGCTGGAATTGATTTATGTCGTTCAACCACGTAGATGCGTAAAAGCGCACAATGCAGGCGCGGAAGGAATTGCTGCTGCCTGTTGTAAGTTGTTTAGAGAATTTACCAACATAAAACTAATCCTCTCCTGGCGCTTAGTAGAAATTACGCTTTTTGTTTGTCTAAAAACAAGCCCTCGCGAACTGCTGCTGACAAAAAGAAGCGCGCTTTCTCAGCTAAGGGCGCCTCGACGCCCGTGAAAAGCGCAAGGAACCAAAGGGCCGTCTGCGCCTCTGGTCTGCCTTTTCCCGCCTTCCGCGGGGTGGGAAGGGCCGCCATCTTCGCGGGGCCGGCTGCCAGTCATAATCATAACGCCAGGGGCTTGTCGGCGCGGTGCCGAGCTGCGCCCTCGCCCTTCCCCGGCGGGGCACCTCCTGAGCCACCCGCCACACAACAGCAGCACTCACAGGTCCCCGCGTTCGCCGCCTCTGCTGCCGCCGTCGCCTTCGGGCTGCTGCTTTCTTCTTTGGGACTCCGGTTCAGAAAGCCCATAAAATCAGTCAGGCCTTTCACTGCGCGGTTCCAGTTTTCCTCCATGGCGCTGGGCGAGTGTGTGTCGCTTTCGAGGGGCGACTCCCTGTCCACAAGCATCAGCTGTGTGTGCTTTTCTCCGTCAACTAGATAAGAAATATGGGCTACCGTCAGTCCTAGGAGCTGGCAAACAAAGGAGGACCTGAGAAGTAGGTGACGAGGGTGACTAAGACCTGCTCGGGTTCGTAGAAAGTTTGTTCCTGCCCTTACATTGCCTGCCCGCAGCCAGTTGTCGTGGTCGGAGGACGGACAGACTTTGAAGTGAGACACGAGTGTTGCAAACTGAAACAATACTGTAAAATGGCAAGATTCATACACCTAGATGCTAATGAGAGGTAGGCGCGTCCACTGAAATCCAAAGGCAGGAGGAATTAGTTCTAGTCGGACAAAGAGTCCTGAGAGATGTAATTAAAAATATATATTTTTTGCTCAAGACCACCAAAGGCGCGCCGCTTGTTTTGCATTGGGAAATGTGGCATATTTAATATTGTTAGGAATTTGGGGCAGGGCGCAGACTCTACATTCTAAGTTTAGTAAAAGGTAGAATTTAGCTAGTATTTGCCAGGGCAGTGAAAAATACAGGCTGGACCAGTTCTCCTGTTCAGGAGATCACTGATAGTGATGGCATTAAGAACACAAAAAGAGCCAAGTAAGAACAATTGGCCATGGAGGTGCGGACTTTCTCTGCCCACAAGAAGTGGACAAAAACAAAAGAATCGAGGTGGGGAGGTTGCTAGGGTTAACGGGGTGTGATGTCAACAAAGAAAAAAAGGTGTCCTTTTAAAACAGGTTTTGAAGGAGGGTTTTGGGAGGAGGAGAAGGGAGGGGCCAGAACTCCACAGGCTCTGACTGGAGGAGGCTGCATGCAGAGACTGGGGAAGCTGGCTGACTGCTGCTTTGGAACCAAGCTTGCTGAAGCAATGAGAGAAGTAATCAGAGGCACTCTTGGGGTGTAATGGTCTGCACTCCTTTCATCAAAACTTAGGTTGTAAACGTGTAAACTAAACTGTACTTCATAAAGACACGACAGTCTCCACCCTGTCTTATTCCCAATGCACACAAACCCAGCTTAAGTGCCAAAACCCCTGCAATCTCACTACTGCTCAGCAGAGATTAGGGTGGCCTGTTTACCGAGCTAGATCTGCAGAAAAAGTTCATTGTAGTTCCTGACATTACATTGCTAAAAAGTGGGTCACATGTTGGACTTAAACACTCCAGTAATCCAGCAAGGTGTTTTGTAACTGTGTTCTTGAGTATATATGCATTTTTGACAAGGAGAAGAGTCCTAAACACACTTCCTAGGAAATACATGGGATTGGGCACAGTGAAACTTACTTCTGTTCTAAGTAAAAAATGCATCAGATTCTGCTGCAAATGATGAAGAGCAATTTTCTGTTTTACTCTGTGTTGTGTTTTTTACAAGCCAGTGTGGTTGGCATGTTGGACGAGACCCTGGGAGACCAGGGTTCGAATCCCCATTCCACCATGAAACTCACTGGGTGACCTTGGGCCAGTCACTGCCTCTCAGCCTGACCTACCTCAAAGGTTGTTGTGAGGATACACTGGGGAATTGGAGAACCATGTGCACCACTGTGAACCCCCTGCCATCTGGGAGATATTTGATCTTGGATTAAAACTTCATTCATTCATTTATCTTCTGTATGGAGTCATGTGGTTCAAATGATCAGCCCTATGTACTCTTAAGACAGTGCAAGAGTAAAAAAGTTATCCTAGCATTGGCCTGAGTTGAGTTGTCAAGCCAGGCACTAGGGCTGGGGTGAGGAGCCCTAGGCCTGAGGGTCAAATGTGACCTTCCAGACCTCTCTCTACTCCTTGACATCGTCCCTAGGTCACAACACCTCCCCAGCCACATCTATCACTGGCCTTACTTCACACCCTCCTGGAGTGTTTTTCTTGGCTGGAATTGTATCCTTGAACTCCTTGTAACATGTCATTGAAGCTCAGTTAGTTAGAGCATGGTGAGGACAACGCCAAGGTTGCAGGTTCAATCCCCATATGGGACAGTTGCACATTCCTGCATTGCAGGGGGTTGGACTAGATGATCCTCAGGGCCCCTTTCAGCTCTACAATTATATGATTCTATGATGATTCTTGTTTGCCTGGATGGAGAATAGAGGTGCATGTGTATAAACAAGCCTACTGTACCAAGGTAACATTTACATTTGTTGCCCCACCCACCTTTGCCTTTGGTCCCGCCTGCCACTATCGTGTGCTTGCCTTGAAGAGAATGTCACTCTCGAGATAAAAAGATCTTGCACTAACCTAGGTTGATCCCAACTCTGTAATTAAGCAATAGAATGCCATTTCCCCACCATTTTTTATGGTGGGACAGTAAACTATATCCCCCCCACCCAGATTGTTTGGAAGGGGGAAGCAGAGCTTTTTCCAACTATCAAATAATGGATGGCAATTTCACAGCAGTTTGCATCAAAATGACCAAATCTATTCCACAGGACTGAGCTATTAAGATTAAGGCACAGGTTGGATATGTAGAACTGGAGAAGCTGAGACCAGCGAAGTTAAAAGTGTAGTTCTAATAATGAACATACATTTTACAAAGCCACTTTATTTTGCGTTACAGTGAGAGTAGCAACTTTATGATAAACGTGACAGAAGTCTGACCTGTTTTGGAAAATATATTCTATATTAGATTTATTTTGGAAGATATATTACATTGTGAATATACTATGTATAAAATTATTTTAAAACATTTGATAATTTATATAAACACAAACATATATACCATTTACAATGTCTGGAAAATGTAAACAAATTAAATTAACATTTCTCTTCATAATCTTTAATATTTGATTGGTAAAATTCCTTCACTTAAGAGCTAAATATCATTTATCATATCTTTATGAGATCAGTTATTGGAGAATTAGACACACAGGCTGGATTTATTTGATTATACAATTTCCTACCCTGTTTTTATTACAGTGAATCTATTACACTGCTCTAGTCTTACTGAATTAGTCTAGTTGACTTCACTAAGTGCATTGCCTTCTTAATCATTAATTCGCGAAGGCAGAGCCTTTTGGACAATTGCGCTGAAAACAGTTTCTACAAAGGCACAGAACAGAAAATGTTCCAACAGTACAATTTAGGTCTGTCCAAGGGCTCTTGGATATTGATAACCATAAACAAGTTAAAAAATATTTTTCTTCTCATTCAAATGAGGCATAGTAGTTGCCCCATATCCAAGGTACAGTTAGTATTTAGTCTAGTCTAGATGGCACATGAAGTTCTGACTGCCTATGGGGAGAGAGCAGATCTCCTGTTTAAATTAACAGGAGTTAGGATTTTGGTGTGTGTAGTTGATACTTCAAGTGTTTGAATGTAGGGTGCTAAATATACTACAACTTCATCACTTCCTGCAATAAACTTTTTGTATAGCACAACAGAAGGTGAACCAAGTCTTAAATCTTGGTATTACTGCTCCAATCATCATCAGCCCAAATTTAACAAGGTTTGATTTATGAAGCGTATCTGTTCATTACCAACTGAAAGCTCAATCCTTCATTTTTTCTTTTCTATCAAAGAGCTATGAAAATGACTTTTAAAGAAGTCAAAATATGAAGTGTTATTGTATAGTTGATAACAAAATAGTGATCTGAATAGTGTAAAAGTGTCTATAAATTTTTTATACAAATGTTAAGCCTGCATAATCCTGATTACTTCATATCTAAAGTATTGTACTTTAACAGTGATGAAAATGTCCTTAAAATAAATAGTATTCATTTGAAAAAACTTTCGATAGTACACTTAGAATTATTTGACTTGGCTTTTTTAGATGTCGATTGGGGAACCACTGTTCCAGACCTGAAATGAAAGAAAAACACATACCATTAAATACATACAATTAAATTAATTAAAGTCTCGCCATGCTCCCCCTTTAAACCTCTGAGTTCAGGAGTTTAAAGGGAGAGAGTGAGGAGACTTGCAAAGTTGTGCAAGAGTTTTTGACAACCCACCAGTCAAGCATGTGACACCATAGAGATGTAATGCGAGTGGCAGGTGAACATCTCAGCTCACCTGTCAAATTTGGTCTGTGAAGCCAAACCTGATAAGGATTTGGTCAGTGGCATCGAAAAGGGTCCCCACCCCTGTTCTAAATACTCTAAGAAATGTTTACACAGAGCTTACCGTTTTGTTCCTACTGTGAAATTTGTACTATTCTGTCCTCTGTCCAAGATTCCTGAAGAAAAACGAGGAACATTCTCAATGTTTTAATTGAAAACAATAATAGATTCTGTTTTAATTGAAAACAATAATAGATTCTGCAGGAGGTTTGTATGGTAAGTGGGAACCCGGAGATTGGGGAGGGGAACTACCATACTAGGTAGTCTTAAGGGTTATTCATAATGAATGGAAAGCAAACTTCCCATTCTAGGTGGTCCTCACCCAAGGTAGGATTGATGTATCATATAACTTCCAGAGAACATGGGCAAATCAATAACCTGGCATAATTTATTTTATATCTTTATATATCCTAAGTTCATCAGAGTTCACGAAGCAACTTTTATTTTTTTTCTGAAGAAAAATAAGCCCATTTCTTCATAAAACAGGACATGGCCAACTCCTTTGCAAACACTTATGTGAATTAGTTTGCTGCACCATATTTATGGTACTAATGTGTTCAAAAAATGAGTGATAAACAGAATACTCACCAAGGCTTTTTGACTCTTCTGTCAACTGCTTGATAATTCCTTTGTTCAAACAAACATCCACATGCCTGTTAAACAAAGCAAGGTCTGTTGTTTTTTGTTCTAAATTGCAGACTGGGCAAACTAAAACCTTGTTTTCAGTAGCATCAGGAAAACATGGCAACTTAATTTCCGAAGAACTGGGCTCTTCAAAATATTCTTCTTTTTCCACAGATAAGACATTAGAGGGAAAATCCGGTTTTGCACATGTATCAAATCCAAAGTTACTAGAAAGGCTACACTCACTCTCCCTACTGTGTTCATCATCTTGCAGCTTAGGAAAAACGTCTGTGCTTCTGTTTGTAGCATTATCAACTATATCTGCTGGCTGTACTTCAATCTGTGGCTTACTTGTTTTATCTTTCTGACATTCTTTCTTTTCCATGTTTACAGACAACTCAGTTTTATTCTCCCATGATTTGCTGTTATCTGTAATATCTTCTCCCAATGTTCCACTAAGGCACCTGTCAATATGCCTGTTAAATGCCTCTAACGTGCTATCTTGATGTTCTTCAAAGCAAACAGGACAAATGAAGATCTGATGTTCACCATTATTCTCTGCTGGTTCAACTGACTTCACTAATGACTTCATATCTTGTAGGTTCTGCTTGTTTGGAGACATGTTTAAAGAAGCTGCTTGATTAGTTTGCTGTCTTGTAGCTCGCTTTTTATTGAAAAAACTCTCCTTCTCAGAAGCATTTGGAAAAATTTCCTCTTCCGATTTCCTAGGAAAGAGCCCGGTAGTACTGATATGTTTTCCAGGCTCTAGGAAATTAACAATGCTCTTTTGTTGATATTTCTTTTCTTCTTCATTTAGAAAACCTGATACCCGTATACCTGAATATGATAAATATGCAGCATATAGTTTAATGGCAACAGAGTTTAAAAGTTTCATCAAAATGAATAGAACTTAAGTACAGTGGTACCTTGGTTTACAAACTTAATCCGTTCTGGAAGTCCGTTCTTAAACCAAAGCGTTCTTAAACCAAGGTGTGCTTTCCCATAGCAGCGGAGGATTCAGTTTACAAATGGAACACACTCAACAGGAAGCGGAGCATGTTCTGCTTCCAAGGCAAAGTTCACAAACCAAAATACCTACTTCCGGGTTTGCAGCGTTCTTAATCTTAATAACCTAAACTGTTCTTAAACCAAGGTACCACTGTATATGCAATTTGGACCAGAATTACAGTCTTGATCCACTATATAAATTGGAAAAAAACTATTGCAAATAGATCATTTTAATAACCCTCACCACAAAAGCCTAAAATCTACATGCTATTCAAAATCATAGATTTTAGAGTTTTTGAAACATTGCTGCACTTCAACATATATGATGCCAAAGGAACATTTCTTATAAAGTAAGAAGGTTCTCTTGGGATCTTTGATTTTTTTAATATTAATCAATATTTATGAAAGAAAGATTAAAATTCAAAGTGTTCCTGGTGCCCACAATTAGGAAAGTCTTGTGCAGCAAAAATTAATAGAGTCTGGTAAGTTAGCATGCCTTATTTGGAAATCTAGTATTTGCATTTATGTGTTATTGGGAAATTTTGGCAAGTAACAGCAGAACAATTACATGGTAAAAGGAAGAAGAAAAGTATTATAACAAAGGCCATGAACAATAGACATGAACCTATACATTTTCCTCATCTCTTGAATTCTGTAGCCTTTTGCTGACACTGCCTGAAGGTGTTCAGTGGCATCTCCTTAAACATGATGGTATCCTTTCTGGGGGTTTTTAAGTGAAAGCTGAGGTTCAGGGAAATCAAATTCTGCATAAAAATCCCCTTGCATACACTGGTAGATTCAATTCATACCCATTGTAGCACCACACTTCTCCTTTTTAGAAAACTAAGTAAATCTGTTGCCAATGTTATTTGAAAGGAAGATGATGTATATTTTAAGAAAATATACAATGTTGTATATTTTAAGAAAACATTCTAACAATTCATTTTACTACAATAGCGATACTTGATGTTTTCCAACAACAACATTAAGAAGAGAGGTGCAATAAGCAGCACAGCCTTTTCCATCCAACACCCATGTTGCACATAGAATTCTAACAATCAGTAAAAAAATTAAAGTGATACTTACCCATCAGTCGCAGGCGTAAAGGTTGTGGGGCCACAGCCTCTGTTTCTGACCGAAGCAAGTCTTTAGCAACAGCAAATATTTCTTCTTCAGTAGAAACTGCTGACATTACTGTAGTAGCTCTTGTTTTTACTTCAAAGTTTACATTCTTCAACTTTAAAGTTACAGTTCTAGCCTATTAAAACCAACAGGATTTTAGGACTTTTTTTCTGAAATGGACATACCCTGAGATTATAGATCTAGCTTAACAATAAGGCAATCAAAGCTGTTGCAGTGAACTTTTCACAATTATATATAATTAACTTTTCACAGACATTTCATGTTCTTTTTCATCTTATTTGGAGCTGCCAAGCAACTGATCATTCAACTGTCTTAATTTTGTTCAATCATAGAAATAAAAAGAACTATCTGCATTCCTCTATTTGTCGCATTCTAATATGACCAAGGAATAGAAACTAGGGAAGGGCTGTACAAACAGGAGTAGGCTCAATTCCTAGTGGGCTCAAGTAGGGTTTTCATTCCTATAAGCATATAGTACCACTACGGCAATTCACTTTTACTAGACGCCTCTGAATGTTTCTCCTTGTGGTGCCATAAATGTCAAGATTAGGCAGGGTAACTGAAGTTCATACAGTATACCAGTCTCTTCAACGACAATGTTTGCCTTGGGCGGCATCTATTATGAATTAGATGAGGAGGAATAATGGCATACCCTTCAAATGTTTGAACATTATATGCTTGGCCAGAGCAAAACCACAGGCAATCTATTACTGTTCCTTCTTCTGCTAATTAACAGCTTTTACTATAATATCTGTTCTATGCAAAATTACTTGGTGAATTGATTTTAAGAGACACAAAATTACTTTAGGCTAAACAAATTCTTGCATAAATAATTCATATTACCAGAAAAAGCTAAAACAAAAATACATCCCGTGTAACTACTGTAACAAGGGATGCAGAAGATCTGAGTGCTGACATTTTATAGAAATTTACCCACTTTAAGTCCTTCCTTTTTCAAATCCTGAGCAAGGTCACTGCAAAGTTCTTGACACAAGCTGTATTGTTCTGCAGCACTTATTTCATTAAATGTCCTGTGTGCCAAAAGAAAAGTAATCATAATCATAGCAATGACTAGTAATAGTCTATCCTCAAATAGCATAGAGAAACTTGGCCTTTTTTTACTGATCCATGTAATAAAAATATTAAGGTTTAAGCTAAGCTGCAGAAATTTGCACAAACAAACATATAAACACCTACTGAATAATAAAGGCTTAAGAACGAATGGAGTGTCAGAAATGATGTTGGGTTGGATCCTGACTGAGGGTTGCATCTGGGACTGCCATACTGCTCATGCAACAGACTTCTGTTTTTTGCAGTGGAACTTCCGCACCCTTTCTCCCCTGCACCCACAAAATCTGCTCCAAAGGGTTGGAGGACCCCCTGGAGCAAATGTTGGCACTGTGCAGGGAAAGGAGAGGAAGGTGCGTGCTGTTGTGTGAACAGAACATTGCTTCTACAGCACTGAACACAACCCTAGGTTGCTCTCAGTCTCCTCTGAAATTAGTGGGAATCGAGTTAATAATGACTTAACAGTTTACAATGATTTCAGTGGGACCCAAGTACAACTCCATTGGCCTGGATCCAACCCCTTATGGTAATTTTCTCTTGATTTTTTTTTTTAATCTTAAGAGATTTTGCACAATTATTCTCATAAGGCCTTATGAATCTTGTTTTATAAATGCTTGAACAGCTTAAGAAAAACTAAACTTCTGAGAGTTTTTTATTATTATTAAAATTTGATTCTAACATAATTGAGCATTTATCTATTGGAGACCTAGGCATTCTTCTGGAAGACTGTTCTTTCTACCAGATTAGAACTGTAAACCAAATGCTCGTTACTGTTTCAATAAAATAGAGGGGAAACAGCTCAATAAGTTTTCTTGGAACAGTAATGAGCATTTTATGTGGCATTACTAATCTTCAAAAAAAGATAGCTTTCAGTACAGTTCTCAGATTCCCTAATTGAAAAAGACTTGTTTATGCTAGAATCACATTTTTATCGCCAAATAAACCGAAAATTATTTTTCCTCAAGCAGAAGAAGCTCCACATTTTGTATGGTAAGCATGTTAGTTCTATATACCCTAGTGGCTTTTTAATCCTGCTCTTCCTTCCAAAAGGAGCTTGGCATGGCAAACAACAAAACAGTGAAATCAATACAAAGGTTCTAAAAGCCAACTGAGAACATACCTTTCAGTGCTCATGCTTTTTCTTTCTCCATCCCTTTAAAAAGAAAAAAGATGTGTGAGTGTCCAGGTATGTTTATTTAACATTTATATATAATTATTTATCACCATTATTACAAATACAAATATACAGAACCCCACGTACCCCCTCCCCCCAAAAAATTATAATCACTATAGCTGGATATGATCCAACAGGAATAAAAACATCTGTAATTTAAGTTTCACCAGATTTGGTAAGTTGTTAGTTTCATAGTGCTCTTGAAAATGCACTTAGAAGAGCACAATAAAATTGAAAACATACAAAGACTCACAACTAAGCTTCGTTCATTGAAAGATGCTGGGCGGAATTCAACACTGTGTAAGCAGAAATCACCATCCTCTCCCCTACTCTGCAGCCCCTTCAAGTATCCAATATTTGCTCCAGAGCATGGGTAGGCAAACTAAGGCCCAGGGGCCAGATCCAGCCCAATCGTCTTCTAAATCCGGCCCGCAGATGGTCCGGGAATCGGTGTGTTTTTACATGAGTAGAATGTGCCCTTTTATTTAAAATGCATCTCTGGGTTATTTGTGGTGCATAGGAATTCGTTCATTTCCCCCCCCAAAATATAGTCCGGCCCCCCACAAAGTCTGAGGGACAGTGGACCGGCCCCCTGCTGAAAAGGTTTGCTGACCCCTGCTCCAGAGGGTCCCCCAACCCTCTGGAGCAGATTTTGTGGGAGCAGGGAGGAGGAGAGGGAAAGTCCCACTGAACAAGTGGAAATCTGTTCTGCTTGTGCATGGACAGCATTGGACACAACCCACTATTTTAAACAGATATAAATGTATGTTGCTATTTTACAGTTAAGGATCTTAAGCAGGGCTGTGAAAGACTTCAAGCTCAAGAATACTGTGGGAACGGTTAGAGGAAACATATTATTGGCTTTGTTCCTTTTATGTAACAATGTTACAAGCTAACAAAAGATTTAGAAAGCATCTAAAATGAACACAACCCATTCACATAAAGTACCTTTCTAAATGGGTGGAACCCAAACCAAGGGAGATTTCCAAGAAATTACGCCAAGATGTTTCAGAGAAGAGAAGAGAAATTAGTGCCCTCTGCTGGTAAAGTTCTGAACAAGTCACAATGTTCAGAGCTTTAAGCATTTTTTCTGTTACTTTTCCTATGCCAGGCACCTGGAAGAGAGTTAATGCACACTAATAAAACAATGAACTTCCAGGAAAACAATGAAACCATAGTTTACAAGCATTTGCTCTGGAAGTGAGAATATTCATCAGTGATAGTTATTTCCAGTGATTAAAGGTGGACAAGGTTCTGAGATTTGGAGCACTTAACATAAATTAGAAAAGGGCAACATGTGCTTAATTCATTAATTTAAAACTTAACACTATATATATATATATATATATATATATATATATATATATATATATGAATAATTATATGGCCCTGTTGGGTTCTGTCCATGGCTGGTTAACCTATTTCATTCTTCTGCATTGACATTTGGACAATCACCAATATTCAAACAATTAGAAGAGCGGCTACCAACCTTTTCGGATCCATTGGCACATTTTGCATTTTAAGAAGTTAGTATAGGCACCAGTTGCCATGGGGTATGGCATAACATAAAACTAGTGAGCACACTCATTGTTGCTTCACCACCCCCCCCCGAACAACTGCCTGCACACAGTAAGTTTGTTCTGATTACACAATATGGATTTCACACACACACACACACACACACACACACACACACACGTTTTTGCTGCTAACAACATTCCCAAGTACCAGAAAAGATATACAAGGTGGCCACACCAAACTAACTCCCTCTCGCACTGATGCACACACCACAAATACATACATCCGCCTATCTCTCACACATACATGCAGACACCACTCTCTCTCCCTCCCTCTTACACTCACAGAGACACAGAGACCACACACACATACAGACTGAACATATATGAACATGGGGGGGGCAGGGGGCAGCTCCCCCCCAAAAAAATCAAGTAAACAAATAAAAATACTTAATTAAAAGTATAAAATTGTAGAAAGATTTTGACAGATCTTTCTGAGCACTTGTGGTTAAAAGAAAGTAATTTTAAAAAACTGTTGCTGAGACATCTCATTCTGAATCTGCTAGACAGAGCCAGACAGAGGATGAGGACAGGTGGGTGTCCTGCCCCCCACCTACAAATCCTGGCTACGCCCATGTACATACAGACCTCATCCCCCCCCCTCTCTCTCTCACACACACACACACACACACAGAACACATCACAAACTTCCTCCTTAGTCTCACACATGTACAGACTACAGATACACACACACATGTATTTACATACTTGTCTACTCTCTCTCTCTCTCTCTCTCTCACACACACACACACACACACACACATTCAGGAAAGCCCATCTACTGAGTGGACAGGAGAATTTCTATCACTCCTACCTGCCACTTAAATTAAAAATTTTAAGCCACTCTGCAGGGATAAGCAATTGCCTGTTACCAGCTCCATGTGGCTGGTGGGCAAGAAATTGCTGATGAGGAATCGCTACCAGTCCTTTTCTCCCCTCTCCCCTTGTTGAAAAAACCCTCTGGGGGCTAAGCAACTGCCTGCTCCACTTGGCTGGTGAGATAATATTCCTTGAGCAAACAGGGTGATGCTCATTGCTCCTTCTCTCCTCACCCCAAGACTTTGCAGAGGGAATCTCTGTGGGGCTAAAGCAACTGCACACTGCAACCTTGATGTGGCTAGCAGGCAAAAAATCACTGAGCAAATAGAGCAATCCCTGTTACTGCTCCCAAACTCTGAGGGGGAAAAAGCTCTCTGGAGGGCTAACTGCTCTCTGCCACAAATGGCCATTGTTTCTTCTGCCACCCCTCCCTCCCTCCCTCCTACAGTCAATAAAGCCACTCCACAGACTGAAACAAAGAGAAGCAATTTAATTTACAGACACCCCAGGTTGCTTCAGAGACCCGAAAAAGGCCTTCAAAGGTCCTGCATTGGTGACCCCTGAGCTGGAAGATTCAGCTGAACTGTAAAACGTGCATTCAGATAGTTAAGAAATTTTATGCTTTATAAAATGCATATATTCTACTGTGTTCCAACTCCAGCATAATTCCAAGAGAAATATTAATATCAGTGCTTAAACTGAAAGGAGAAAAAGAGGTTTCAGGGCTACAGCTTTCTGGAAGCTGAATATTTTATAGAAGCCCTTGATCTCTGTACCTTTACTGGGGCCAGCTTCTTCAGACTGAACATTAAGCAAAAACAAATGAACAGACAGCTTGGGGGAGACACACACACAATGCTATTGAGCTTAATGATAATAGCCCAAACTTCAGATTTTAGTAGACTATGCTAGTACAGTGGTACCTTGGTTCTCAAACGCCTTGATACTCAAACACCATGGTTCTCAAATGGCAAAAACCCAGAAGTGTTCCGGTTTTCGAACGTTTTTCAGAAGCCAAACGTCCGATGAGGCTGTCGGCTGTTGTTTCCGGGGCACCTGCACCAATCAGAAGCTGTGCCTTGGTTTTCGAACATTTCGGAAATCAAACAGACTTCCGGAATGGATTAAGTTTGGCGCTTTTGTTTTTGCTATTTATTTTGCGTTTTTGACGGTTAATTTGTTTTTGTGACTGTGTGGAACCCAGTTCAGCTATTGATTGATTGATTGATTGATTGATTATGTGACTGTGGAAATGGATAAAAGCCCCCCATTGAAACAATGACTATCATCAGTACAGGTTAAAAAAAAAAATAATTTTAATTTTTTATCATCTACAATACTGTCTTATTTATTTTATAGTGCAGTAAAATGATTATTGCTTTCATTTTATGGATCAATGGTCACGTTAGATAGTAAAATTAATGTTAAATTGCTGTCTGGAATGTATTAATCCATTTTGCATTACTTTCTTTGGGAAAGTGTGCCTTGGTTTTGAAGCGCTTTGGCTTTGGAATGGACTTCTGGAATGGATTAAGTTTGAGAACCAAGGTATTACTGTACATATATCTGATGATGGCACCCAGCATGGTCAGGCAAATTCTAGGGCCCACCAAAGCCCACTGACATCACTTTGTCTTTTTTTCAGGGATGTTATAGGGAAGATTATGATGGGTGGCTGCAGGCTCAGCCTGTTCTTTGCAGCACACTTCCATATAAAGAATAAGGAAAAGGGTCTTGCCCACTGCTGTTGGGAAGGGGGCAGGCACGAGGGAGTCCACAACTCAGACTACCTAGAGCCCTCTCAAACCTGTTAGCGTACCCTCCAACATTTCAGATGAAAACAGACACATTCCACATGCAAGGTTTATTTTGCAAGCTGCATCCCTCTGCTATGAGCACATTGCAGAAGGCTCTTAAATGCTTGCAGTGTTCATTTGCTCTGCACAGTTTTATCCTCCACTGAAGACAAGAGGATGATTGTTACTTTGGTTACAGTTGTACTAGGAAAACATAATGGGTTGGAAACAGAGAAACACATTTGGAAGGAGGAGAGCAGGTGATTTTCCTGTCCTTCCTCTCAATCAGTCCTCCAAAGCCTTGCAGCACATTCACTAAATATTTGTTCACCTCATTTTCAGTGATTCCCCCAGGCCACTTGTGTTGCAGCCCCTGAAAACAGCTTTTCAGGGGTGTTGGGACAGGGTGGTGGTGGTTGGAACAGAAAGAGGTGCAGAAAAAGACATGGGAGTTTATTTCTCTGGAGCCAACCTAATACATTAGCAAAAGCACTGCACTGCATAGTGTTTTAGTATTCCATGTGTATGCTTTCTGTGCCCTTAAAAATATCTATTTCCCATTTTGGGGATTTCACTTCTAGAGACTTGGGGGAGGAAGCTAAACCCTGAAGAATGACAACACGAGTACCTCCCACTCACATTTTAACATTTTTGCATATGTGCCAAATGCAGAAAAGGATCTGAGGTTACATCAAAACTACTGGAGCAAAAAACAACAATAATGCAGCTCTCTCTTTGGCAGCAGTTACTCTAAAACTAATCGGAACACAAAAGTCCTTTGTAAGGTAGAGAGCAAAGGCAAAGAAAAAGTGGTAATCTTTATATTAGCAAAATCAGAGTTTAATATAGCACATTGGGATAGAATAAACAGAAGCCAAACTAGATACATGCTGGCAGAAAGCATATTTAATAAATTTCACCTATATGCAAAGTTATTTCACAGCTTGATCACTTTGTAACTTTTTGGCTGATCACATAAAAGGTATTATAACTAGCCATACCTGATTCTTTTGAGCTACCCCAAATGTTTGTCTTATTTCATATTTCTCAGATTTTTATAGCACTTCCTAGCAAAGTACTCAACGCAGTTTTTGAAAAGTCTCAAGATCATAAACAACAGAACCATCATGAAACAACAAAAAATGAAAATATTAACAGTTCTGATTTTCTTGGTTCATGCTCTGGATAGAGAAAAGAATATAACCTACAGATTAAATTATTAAATTAAAAAAGGGTCCTCAAAATCACAGGTCACCATCACCACAAGTAAGAGGAATCTTACTCTTTGGAGTGTATAAGAGTATTAGTCACATTGTGATGTTATAGCATAGCATTTTCAGTGTCCAAGTGTAAATTATTATTTAAAAGACAGACCCAGTATACTGTGTTCTTCATCTTCAGTGATGTTATGAGGACCAAGAGTTTCCCAAGGCATTTACTATATTCTTCACCAAATAGTAACAGAAAACACTACGGGTGTTGGTCACATTTTCCCAGCAGGATCCACACAATCCACACAGGTATCTTCAGTATATTCCTGATGTGGGAAGTCCTCAACCAAAAAAGATCTAACAAGAAGCCGTGGATGGCACACATGCCCCTTAGAAACTGAGAGGTTTTGTATGTTCACTCAAACTTTGGCCTAAACCTTCACTTGCTCAAGTCCAATACAACAAACGGAAAGGGTTACAAAAATTAAATGTTATCAGTGTATTTTGGGAGCATCCATTCCCTACTCCCAGAAAGCATTCAATTTTACAACAAAATGCACACAATTTTATATGGGAGTTCATACTTCATTAAAGTATAAAATAGTAAAGGGTTAAATTTAGATGCAAAGAGGGTTTAAGACAGTAAACAAGTCTACCAGCAGTAATAAGGATGACAACACTGAATAATAAATAAATCAGCTCACCTTTCTAATGGGTAAATCTTTGATGAAGTTCATCACAGCTTCTCTTTCTGGGGGGATTCTATATTGACCATTCGGTTTATTTTTATCACTGCACATTTTTGCTAACATCGTATTTGGAGCAATGCCTAAGCAAGCAAACAAACAACAAATGTCAAACAAATACAAAACGCCAACCTGCTACTTCTGCTCCTAATGATTTTAGAAATAGTTATGATGAGGTTTGTGTAGTAAACAATATTCATTTTGTTTTCGGTTGAATTTGTTTTTAAAAATATGTGCAGATCCTAACAAGTTTGACTGTAACAGGTCCTATGGAATTAAATATGTATGCTGCCGTTCATCCAAAGACTATTGAGCAGTTCACAACGTAAGAAAACATAAATGCAATTTTTTCTGCTGTCATTGTAAAGTCTCTGGACTAAAACTTTCCTACCCACACCCAGCAACACACAAGAATGTGAAAGGAACAGGAAGAAGAACATTAATATATGGCTCCCAACCACCTTAATCTGGCCTTGAACAGTGTTAATAGGTTGTTGAAGTGTGTGTCAGAGCATATGCTACCACCACTCGGGGCAGGCACACAGTGCATGCCCCTGAGAGCAACAGGGTGGAGAGGGTGCCTGCTGTGACTTGCCTTGCAAAGTGGTGCAGAGGGTGCACTTGCACGCTGTGGCCCAGCCAGGGAAGCGGGGGGGGGGGGGCAAAGGTGCCACCAATTCTCATCTTCTTCACTCCTGGGTCCAGCCTGATCTGGGAATGGAGCTGCGGCTGGCAGGCAGCGTTGGGTCACTACGCAAGGAAGCTGTCTCTACAACTCCCTTGCGTGTTGGAGTCAAGCTCTGATGCACAAGCCTGTCATGGTTGTGCCTGGTTATGACCCCTCAAAAAAATGTGCCCGGGGCCGCGGCCTCCCCACCCACCCCACTATACCACTTTGTATGCCATTACAGAGTAGACCAAGTTTAATAGCAAGGCTTCTATGTTGTTGGCTAAAGCCTGAAGAGTTCAGGACTTTCATTTATTGAGGTTGAGCACATGACTCTGATACAGCAGTTTTAGCAAGTCATTTTGTTTATGTCAGTTAATTTTTTCTGTAAACAGAACCTATGCATTTCTTCACATAACAAGGATCTTGTGAATCTACTTTTAAACTCTTGAGATGTACTGGAGAAGTATTATGGAACTTTAAAATATTTCTAATAATATAAATATAAATTTGCTTACCAGCACTGGCAGTAAGTCTTGTTTTTTGTTCAATCCTAAAGCGAATTTCCTCCACCACTTCCTCAGCTGATGCTCCAAAGACAACTGGCTTTATCTGAGTTGTTGACTGTTGGTGTTGTTGTTCTAGGTGCAGCAGAGAAGGGTGAACAATCTGCTTATACATCGGAGTATCAACATCAAACAAGACTGGTGAACAGTCATGTGTATCTTCACTCAAATTTGATTAATCACGTGTTGCTATATTCTGCTTGCCTCAGAAGAAAAAGGGTCAGAAGCTATCAGAATTCTATAAGCAAAACTAATCTCATTTGCTAGTTCTCTTACACAAAAAGTAAATGCCACCTTCCTTTTCCCTCCATTTTCCAAGCTCTTGTAAATATTTTTTACAAACAGCACAAAAAATTCTCATTGTTATTACTGTATTGCCAATTACCTCAAGGCTGGAAAAACTAAGTCCTGCTACTGCCCAAACAAAGGAGTACAGTGTGTTTACTGCATTTAAATGAGCAACATAAAAAAATAGCATGGATTAAAACTGTGTACATTTACATAGATAATACTTTTTTAGATTTTTTTAAAAAACCCTTTCAGCATTTACTTCTTATATGGTATTAGTCACTTTCAGTTCAGGTTCACAATGGGATTCACTCCAAGCCCACATATCAAAAAGCATCATCATGCATCTGTACGGTGCTTTCTCTAGGAAAACCATGCTCAAAGTGGCTCACAAAAACACTGGAATAGTTTACATAATAACATGTTTCTCAACTGTTTTGACCAGTGTACCTGTTGTAAGAAAACTTTGTAAAGAATTGATTGAGTACCTGCTCATCAGTTATAACTGAAGCTGTTGGGCAACATGATACATTGTATACAGTTGGAGTGTCACCCTGGTAATTATTAAACACTTGGTCAATGCTCATCAGCTGCTTAGCATAATGAATGAATTATGCCACCAACTGAAACGAAATGGGGAATCTCGTGCAGAATAGCATCAAGAATTCACTTGGAATTCCAGACTGTGACATCAGACTATTGATCCATAGCTTACTACTTGACTCAACTTTGATAAGAAGTTCATAGGGCAATGTGGGGCCTGACAGCTGCAGCACTGTGAAGAGAAGCATGTGAGCAACTTGCTCCAATGAAATCTAGGACTGGACTGAAGCTTTGTGTTCTTCCAGCGCCAGGTTTACCTCTCCCAGACTCTGCTCCTTCGTTGAGGAATGTAATATCTTGAAGGAGAAGACCTTTGGCCTGGAGCCTAATATTTCCCATTCTCTCAGCCAATTCCCTACAGGTTCAATGACTGTGTTGACAGGTCAAAATGGGGATGTGCAAAGTCCCTAGTGTGGAGATGGATGTTTCCTAAGGAACAAAAGCTTCAAGGGTACAGACTCTGGAAATTCCAGTTCAAAGGGCTGTGACTCAAAGTATCACAGTCCAATACTCCCAGGTCTGGTCATGGTGCTGGGGCCTGTATCAGTTTCCAGCATCTCCTCCTGCTGCTGCCACTGGTCTTATTAATCTGGCCAGGACTTCCTCATCGGAACTGAAGTTAGAGCCCAGGCAGCTGCTCTGGATGGGGGTTGTGACATTTGCTTCTATGCAGTGTTCACTTGGGTGCCAACACTGTTTTGAAAAAGTGATACCCTGAAAATTAGCACCATGAGACTTGTCAGCAAACTATTGCTCTTTTACAATGGCTGCAACTCCCCACTTCTGAAAACATTAATTCCACTAAGTTTAATTACAATTGCAATATTAAAAAGGACACTTCACTAGTGATTTCCTAAAGTGTTTCAACTAAATTGCTTCAAGATTAGCATTCCATGCAAGCAGCTAATAATTACAACTAATATTTAGCCACATGATTTCCTGACTTAGCAAGTCATAATATATAAAAGCAAGGTAAAATGTTCTTTTGGTCTGGCAGTTCCAGATAATTGCTTACCATTTAGAGCAGAGTTGTATGTTTTGATGAAATGCTGCCTTTTGTCTTCAGGCCAGTTCTTTCTTTCTTCTAAGTACTCTGTTATGTTCAAGTAGGCTTCATCAAGCCCCATGGGCATAAAGTGGGGATCATATTCAGCAAGTATTTCCCTAACCTTGGTAAATATAATTTTTAAAAATGTAAAGTTGTGCTGCTATAGCAAAAAACAAATTTTTAAAAAATCATTTGAAGTACCATGCATTCAGTCAATACCAACACTGTATCATTCATTCTTTTAAAATTCCATTATGATTGAGCAATACTAGAAGAATTTTAAATCATAAATATTTTATTGACGTTCCAAATTTGTACTGCATATGGTTCACAGTTAGAGCAACCTCACTAGAAATAAATGTAAAGTTATTTACTCAGATGTGTGAATGTAATTATTTTACTGTGTGTGAACCTCTTTTTAAGATGAGATTTATACACCAAAGATAAAGTGACAGATACTGGTTAATCTTTGCTACTTGCAAAATCAAAACAAATTTTCTTCAAATTTAAAGGAAGAAAATTGTTTCCTCACATTTAAAAAGAGAATAAGGGTATGTTAAGTAAGCATCAATTTCTTCTCAGAGTTTATATAGGTTGACAGAAAAGAATGCTAATCTCAAATGTGAATGCTATTCAATACAACATTATTAGGAGGTGCTAATTGAGGAAATGGGGGTGCGGGTGGCGCTGTGGGTAAAACCTCAGCGCCTAGGACTTGCCGATCGCATGGTTAGCGGTTCGAATCCCCGCGGCGGGGTGCGCTCCCGTTGCTCGGTCCCAGCGCCTGCCAACCTAGCAGTTCAAGAGCACCCCCGGGTGCAAGTAGATAAATAGGGACCGCTTACTAGCGGGAAGGTAAACGGCGTTCCGTGTGCGGCTCTGGCTCGCCAGAGCAGCGATGTCACGCTGGCCACGTGACCCGGAAGTGTCTCCGGACAGCGCTGGCCCCCGGCCTCTTGAGTGAGATGGGCGCACAACCCTAGAGTCTGTCAAGACTGGCCCGTACGGGCAGGGGTACCTTTACCTTTACCTTTTAATTGAGGAAATAAATTTCCTTATCTTAAGGCTAGGTCTGTTAGGAGGAATTCATCCAATGATGAGGAGGGAAGAAGTACCTTTCCCTCCTCCTTCCCACCAAACTATAAGGTAATGGGTAGGTAAAGGTCCCCTAGACGGTTAACTCCAGTCAACGGAGACTATGAGGTGACTATGAGGTGATGAAGTGAGACTCATCTCACTTCAGGTCAAGGGAGCTGATGTTTGTCCACAGACAGCTTTCCAGGTCATGTGGCCAGCATGACAAAACTGCTTCTGGTGCAATGGGACACGAGGATGAGTGTCAGAGAGCACAGAAACGTCATTTATCTTCCTGCCGCAGCAGTACCTATTTATCTACTTGCACTGATATGCTTTCAAACTGCTAGAATGGTAGAAGCTGGGAAGGAGCAACGGGAGCTCACCACCATCATGTGGATTTGAATCTCCAACCTTCCGACTGGCAAGCCCAAGAGGCTCAGTGGTTTAGATCACAGCGCCACCCACATGTGCCCCACCAAACTATTATGGTTATGAAACTATAACGGCATCTTTAACACTTTACTTTTTCAGAACAAACTTAATTAATTAAAACATGAAGCTTAACCATCACCATTTGCAATTCAAGGAACACGTGTAACAAAATACAATCAGCAAGGCTGATATCCTAACCATGTCTACTCAGAAGCAAGTCCCACTGAATTGAATGGGGCTTACTCCTGGGTAAGTGGGGTTAGGATTGCACTCTAAATCTATGTGCATTCTGCTGTGGAAAGAAATTACGTACCTCTTTACTTACTTCTTCATATTTCTTAAAGTTTAAAGGCACTATAGTAAGATGTGGGCAGAGTTTCTTGGCAATAAACCCAGGCATGGCTGCACGTACCCCAAATCTTCTGGCATGATAATTTGAAGTGGACTTAAAAAGACAAGACATACTTTAAAATCATGCACTGAAGCCATTTTAAATGGCTTGTACATTGCGGTCAGAATACAGTAACTCATTAGGTATGCTGGGTGGAATCTACACATATATTTAAAAAACGCAGTGAAAATGCTTTTTTAAAAAATGTTTTGAAAAATTCATTGATTTTTGCATAGCTCACTTTTGCCATCGAGAGTCACATTAATATATTGCACTTTACCACCCATTTAAAACGTCTTATTTGCAGCTGTGTAGCTGAGTCCCTGGGCAAATGCAGAATCACCAAAATCAGGGCAAAAGAAAAAAGATGGCCAGTTGCAGCTGACCTGGAGATCTAACTAAGCATTTTTAGAAATATTCTGTTAGTATCTTAGGATCTGGCCTAGGTAAGTTCAACTCCAGAAATGCAACAGTTCCAACCAGTAGTTCAATATAAGCTCAAAGGAGGCGAATGTACCTACATATACCAATATATTGAGCCAGTATGGGAAACCTCATTCCTGAGTGCCAAATGTGGTCCTCCATGCCATTCTGTTTGGCTCTCAGACTACTCCCCAGGCCACACTCCTCACAGAATCTATTTTGCACCTTTAGTATTTTGGCCTGGATGAAATGTGCCCTTGAACATGCCTCTTGCTTGTTCAGCTGGAGGACTAACAGGGGCATGTGGCTTTGGTAAAGGTAAAAGTGACATTTGTTGCTCTGCCCACTTTTGCTGCTGGCCCCACCCACAAATGTATTGTGCCTTTGGAAGGTTACCCAGAAAGATTTGTAGTACTCAGGCTGGAAAAGGGTTCCCCTGATGCACTTCGAATGTTTGACTATGGCTGTATACACACTCTTGTTTATTATGCATTCAGTGTACTCCCACCACCGGTTTGGTAAGTGGTATACACATGACATCTGCCAAAATCCACACCTATCCTGTATCTGTCTTTTCATTCCTTATGAAACACTGTGTTTTGATGCGTTTCCCCCCCCCCCCAAACCAGCAGCAGTCCAAAATGAGAAAAAGAGTGACTTACCTAGCTATGTTTTAAGCCAGTATTATGTACACTGCCAGGTTTAAATCCCCATCCGCCATGAATCTCACTGGGTGTCCTTAGGCCCATCACTATCTCTAGCCTAACTCTACTGGGTTTTCATGAAAATAAATGGTGGTGAGAGAACAATGCACGCTGCCTTAAATTTACTGAGGGAAAATGTGAGATTAAAATGTAATAAAACAAACAAGCATAGTTTTCTGAACTAACTGTTCAGCTTGAATATCTCTTTACCACAAGTTTAGAAACAAGCTACTTGGAAATATCAGGCGGTGGGGGAGAGAATTGTAGCAAATGTTACCATATATTCCACCTTACCAGCATACTCATTGACCCCACTGCTATGGGCTTGTCCCTCAATTCAGGATTGTCTCTCAGTTCAACAGCTGCATAAAAGGCATCCATGTCAATGTGTACAATGGTACAGCTAAGATCACGGCTCTGATCTAACTTCATTGCAAGCTTATCCATCTGCACATAAGTAAATATATACAATTAGATAGAATTAGATAATTTTTCTTGTGGCATACAATGATTCTTATCAATATAACACTCTAAAGGAAAGTAATATAATATACAGAGACAAATGGAAAAGATATTTTGGTAATCTTGCTGTGCGGGAAAACAGTATCTGATTTGGCCAAGACTATAAGAATAGCTTTGGCACTTTAGACGTTAACTATTTTAGGACTGCTTTACAGCTTTACACACAAAGATAAACAATGTAAAGACATAATGGGCCTTGATGCATGACCTCCCCATGCCATTACAAATCATTCAGTTTGCAATGATGTGGAATAAATGACATTACAGCTTCTAATCAATGTCCCACGTCACTGAGGTTTGTCTTACGAAGCAACCACCATGTGGCTTCTATGCTACTTTTAGTTTATCGTGGCATGGGGAAATGGTGCACATACATATGGTAATTGTGGTACCAATCTTGCACTCTGTGTATGGGGAAAAGAAGGGCTCAGAGTAACTCATATGAAGCTCTAATATAAACTTAGTACAGCTATTTTATTTAAGCAATTTATGTAATGCTTGGCTACAATAGTCTCTAAGCAGTGTACAAGAAATACAGTACAGAACGGGGTGGGGGGGATGGTTAAAGCTTCATCTAAAATGCCTGCAGAAACAAAGAAGGCTGCAGTAGGTGGCAGAACTTCAACAGGAAGAGGACCTGTCTGACCTGAACGGGAAGGGAGTTCCACAACATTGGGCCCACAATACTACATGCATGGCTCCCTGTGAATATAAGCCATGAATCTGAATTAAGCCTTGGCGGTGTTTTGATACAACATCCAGGGCCAGTATGAGGGGCAGACCATGATGGCGGCTTCACCTGGCAGCATATCGTGGGTGAAACCAATGCCGCTTCTGAGTCCCTCTGCTACCAGTGCCGCTTTCAACCTTGGGCCGCTGGTAGCAGAGGGACTCAGGAGAGGTGGTTTCACCTGCGATCTTTAAACAGCTCCCACCCACCCAGCTGAGTGAGCTCCAATGCCTCAAGCGCAAGCTGGAGAGGTATGGGGCTCGCTCAGCTGGGGGGTGGGAGCCTTCCTGCCCCCCAGAAGAACCTTACAAAGAAGGTCCTGCGGGCGAGCAGCAGGGACCTTGGGGCTTGCTCAGCTAAGGGGCGGGAACCCTCCTTTTCCTATCATGGACTTTGGGTGATTGGAAGATTTATACATAAATCTACTTGTTGATAATATACCGTATAACTTATATTTAAAAACCAATAATATGAATATGAGCATAAGATCTTGAATATAATCACAGGTACGTAATAGCTTTTGAAGTAAGGAGGAACAATAATATAAATTTCTCCCACAGTTTTTCTATTCTGTTTTCCTTTTGAACTACCAAATCATTATATTAAATCCAATTCCAAAGTGCTCCCAGCACTGCATAATAAATAAAATTAAAGAACCTAAATTTGAATCTATTTTTTCTGTATCTAAACCACTGGTATTTACAGATTTTTTCCCTCAGTCAAGATTGCTGGGAAGGTATGCACTGACCTCACTCCTCACTCCCACCATGACAAGAATAGAAATTCAACAATAGCTTCTGAGAGCATTAAAGATGAAGGTTAGCAGACTTGAAAGACGAGTTGAGGCACTTCAGAAGTATGCACACTGAGTTTGGTCAAGAGATTGCTTCACATATCATTCAGGTTTATCAAACAAGCTTTTATTTATTTAAGTGGTAATGCTTTGTCAAAAGTAATCTTAACTTCATGTTTACATAAGAGGCTAATACCATGGGCTGCCTAAAAATACTTTCCTCTCCTAAATGAATCAAGTTTATACATATTACCTTTATCTGTGCTTTCATAAGCTGTTGGTCGGTTACTTTACTTTTTAATTTCAGGATTTTTTCAATTCGCTCATTAACTTGTTGATCCTTCTTCAGCTCATTTTCATAAAATTTAGAACCCTGCAAAATAGATTTAAATTATTTAATATCCATCATTAGCCTTATCCAGTCTAGTGCAGTTTGATATAATTCTTACATAATTATTTTTAAGTTATAAAAGGTAAAGGTAAAGGTACCCCTGCCCGTACGGGCCAGTCTTGACAGACTCTAGGGTTGTGCGCCCATCTCACTCAAGAGGCCGGGGGCCAGCGCTGTCCGCAGACACTTCCGGGTCACGTGGCCAGCGTGACATCGCTGCTCTGGCGAGCCAGAGCCGCACACGGAAACGCCGTTTACCTTCCCGCTAGTAAGCGGTCCCTATTTATCTACTTGCACCCGAGGGTGCTTTCGAACTGCTAGGTTGGCAGGCGCTGGGACTGAACAACGGGAGCGCACCCCGCCGCGGGGATTCGAACCACCGACCTTTCGATCGGCAAGCCCTAGGCGCTGAGGCTTTTACCCACAGCGCCACCCGCGTCCCCATTTTTAAGTTATAGAGAACATTAAAAACACATTTTAAAAATTTAGTCAGCCCCAGTATTTGTTACACCAGCTTTCAGGATGCCAGACATCACAGCAGTTAGCAGCAAATGAAGGCGGAAGTGGAGTCACTCAATAAAAATTATATGAAGATACACAGAGCACCAGCAAAAGACGCTGCCTGAATATTAATTTGTACACACATTTTGTTTGTGTGATGATGTGTTATTTTCAATAAGCCACTGAGCAACATGGTAAAATGTTATAAATATTGCACTAGGCTAGCATAATGTTACCAAACACAACATTTCAGAGGCATTGCAACATTAAATCTGTGTTGCATGCACAATATTCAAAATTTGCAGAGAAGGCAGCAATTTAAAAAATCAATTAATTATTTGGCATGTCACACTGATTAGAAATAATAATTCAGCTTCATTTTAATTTACAGCGTGCCTAAAATTTGATAAGCACTGCACAGAGATTAAAGATGAGTCAGTACTTGCCAGCAGACATATTCTTCTTCACTAAACAATAAAGCATGCTAGTAAAAACCCTACAGTTTTTATTGAATGTAATCAATACCTGTGAATAGCTAAAGCATTTGTAAGAGTTTATACAAACAAACCTTGGAAGCTTCCATTATGATTTTGTTGATCTTCTCCTTATCCAGCCCCTGCATTCCAGCTTTGTTATCATTGAGGCCCAGTCTAAGCAGAAGGCCCTCTCTGGAAGAAGCATTGCCTTTATCTGCATTTTCCATTGCACAACCAAGTGAACAGATTCTCAGTTCTTGCCCTGAAAAAAACAAACTGCATAATTTTGCTAGATGTACTACAGTGGTACCTCAGGTTACATACGCTTCAGGTTACAGACTCCACTAACCCAGAAATACTACCTCGGGCTAAGAACTTTGCTTCAGGATGAGAACAGAAATCGTGCAGCGGCGGCGCAGCAGCAGCAGGAGGCCCCATTAGCTAAAGTGGTGCTTCAGATTAAGAACAGTTTCAGATTAAGAACGGACCTCTGGAACGAATTAAGTACTTAACCCGAGGTACCACTGTACTGACATTATCACATCATAATGCTACAGTACAAGAGAGGGGACCCTTTTTATGTGGCCCGTGGATGCCCTCCCTGTTGGCTGTGGCAACTCCTCTGCTACTGTGGCAGTCTCAGCAGAGCTATCGGTGCTCTGAAGTCTGGCCCTTTCTTCCCTACTATTCAGCTGTGGTGAGCAGTTATTAACATCAGGAGACAACAGCCTCGCTACAAAGAATTCTGGGTGTGAAATAGTGACTGCTGCTGCTCTATGGATGCTCAAAAGTGTATTCAGTGCTGTAATGATTCGGTTCTACAGCACACATTAGGAGCTGGACTCCCGCTCAACCCATTTGCCAGCCCCCTGCTATTCCCCTTGAGTTTCCCCTTCCCACCCCATGCAACTACCAGGCTTGCTTTTCAACTTCCCAATCCCATATCTGAAGCCACTTGCCTTCTATTCTGCAGCCCTGCTTTCCACCCCATTTCACCTTCAGCCCCCATCTTCATGCTTCCCCACTCCTTTTGTGCAATCCCCTGCACACAAACCACCCCGTGGTAACCTCCTGCAACATCCTCCTGTCACACAATGCAGCTACTAAGCACCTTTTTCACCTTCTACCCAATTATGAAGCAGAAGAAGCGTGTCTCGTATCTCAGGGTGCTGCCAAGATTTCCCTTTACAGTATATAATGTAAATAACTGTACTTCCTATTATTATAGATTTATTTTACTTTTTGAATGGATTGTACACACCTTTAGAACCATAGCCCATAAGATAAAAAACAAAAATAGGAAAAATAAGTCAACTGCATTGGAAGATTTTCAGTACATGAATTTCAATCTGCTAAATTTCTATGGTAACAACACAGAGCACAGGCATATTTTCTATACTACCAAAGTTGGTAAAGTTCAGTTATGATTATGTTATTTAAGAATGTTTATACTAAATGTCTATCCTTTCAAATTCTTCATTCTACTCAATTCAAATTCTTTGACTTTTCTTCAAGTGGAGTAGTAATCTTTATTTTATAAAGAGGTATCCTTAAAGCGGGACGCAGGTGGCGCTGTGGGTAAAACCTCAGCGCCTAGGACTTGCCGATCGCATGGTCGGTGGTTCGAATCCCCGCGGCGGGGTGAGCTCCTGTCGTTCGGTCCCAGCTCCTGCCCACCTAGCAGTTCGAAAGCACCCTTAAGTGCAAGTAGATAAATAGGTACCGCTTTATAGCGGGAAGGTAAACAGTGTTTCCGTGTGCTGCGCTGGTGCAGGCTCGCCAGAGCAGCTTCGTCACGCTGGCCACGTGACCCGGAAGTGTCTCCGGACAGCACTGGCCCCCGGCCTCTTAAGCGAGATGGGCGCACAACCCCAGAGTCGGACACTACTGGCCCGTACGGGCAGGGGTACCTTTACCTTCACCTTATCCTTAAAGCAGATTTTAGCTAGCTATTAAAGTGAAACTCAATTCAGCAAAAGGCATTCACCCAAACCTAAGGATCATCAAACCACCTCCACCCATATCTGGGCTCCTAAATACAAGAATCCTAGAGAGGCACTGTTTGTATCCACTCATAAAATCCTTTGGAACAATCAGGAGCATTCTTTCCACTCAATAGAGCTTTTGCAATTTTTAAGAGCCCTGGTGGAACACAAGATTCTTGTCAGTTTCAAGAATAGTAATAATGTCAAGGAGAAAGTGTGGTTACCTTGCATGTACTCAGGAGCTTAGGATGTTTGGTTTGCCTTAGGCTCTTTCAGATGAATGACTAAAACTACAGCATTGTTATAGCCTTCATTTAGCAATGAGAGCAAGCATAAGCATCTTAAACACAGCTTGTAATGCACAATATATTATAGTGTACAACTGAATATTTTTAATCATAGACTAGTAAAACTGAAATTCTAGGCATAATTTCCTTCAAATGGTTGTAGTTCAGAGTGATCTTTTGATAACATTAATCTAGGCTAGCATTTTTCAATTATGACAGGTTATTCAGATTATTTTAGTTCCATCAGAGCTGACAAGAACTTGAATACAAATCCTTTAGGCTTCCCCCGCACCCACACAAAAAGCAGGCTAACGTACCATTTGGCATATACAAATGTGGATGGAGAAAATCTTAGCTTGAAGCTATAGGGAAAGCAAGGCTTAAAATGCTTTAGAAATAAGATTATGTTGAAGCATCAACAAATAGGGCAACTGTAATTTATGAGACAAAGAAACATGCCAAAATGTAATATAGGTTTTTCATTTGTTTTCTAAATGGTAGTAGCATCCACAGACATGGCCTGTATACCTCCTCTTCTCCTTAAGCTATAAAAGTATCCAAAGTATCTGCATAGTTTGAATTTGTGAGGTCATGGAACTGAAAGCCCTTTGCCACTGAGCTACTGCAGCCCAGCCAGTAGCTTTGTGCCACAGAAGTTAATGCAGAGTTTATTTTACACCAATCAATTTAATGGGGACTATTCATTCTTACTGTAAAAACAAAATACTGTGGACCTGATGTGAGGCACATTGGGAAGGAAAGAAACTGAAAGAGGGAGGAATGTAAGAGATACACTACCCCTTTCCCAGCAGCCCCTCCAATATACTTGCTCTTCCTGGCTGTCATAATTTCAGACAACTCAGTACCATGTACAGGATGTGGAGGGAACAGAGAAAGCCCTCTAAGTGCACACCTTCAAGATAAGCAATTATGTAATTTGCTTAGTTAACTGTCAAGGGTAAAATTGTAAATCCAACCTGTAATTAGCTATATACCCAGGACAGTGTTGCAAATTACTATTACTGTGGGAAACACACCTTTGTTTTCAGCAGCAAAGATGCCAAATGGTTGGACTAGATGGCCCCTGTAGTCTCTTTCCAACTCAACAATTCTATTATTTCCATCTACATTTGCCTATAAATGGTCATGTATGTATTTCTGGAAACCTGGCCCAATCGAACTGTGCAAGGCTTTTTAAAAAATTTATTTCTCTTATTTCTCTTATTTATTTATTTATTAAAAGAGATTAATTTGCCTAGATCAGAAACTGTTGGGTATCGGGCCTAGGCTACCACCTATACACGGAAAGCTTCTACAGTTAGAAGCAGAGGGTGAACAGTAATCCTCCCACAACTACAAATCTCTTGCTCATCACCCATTACAGTTATCAAGCTGGATGTGTGTCACAATACAGTGGTACCTTGGTTTACAAACTTAATCCATTCTGGAAGTCCGTTCTTAAATCAAAGCGTTCTTAAACCAAGGCGTGCTTTCCCATAGCAGTGGGGGACTCAATTTACAAATGGAACACACTCAACATGTTCTGCTTCCAAGGCAAAGTTCACAAACCAAAACACCTACTTCCAGGTTTGTAGTGTTCTTAATCCAAGTTGTCCATAAACTAAGCTGTTCTTAAACCAAGGTACCACTATAGTACTAAAGGGGAAATTATCCCCACAGCTCTTCATCTGTAAGCAGCCAAGATAAAGGTAAGGGAACCCCTGACCGTTAGGTCCAGTTGCGGACGACTCTGGAGTTGTGGCGCTCATCTCACTTTACTGGCTGAGACAGCTGGCGTACAGCTTCCGGGTCACGTGGCCAGCATGACTAAGCTGCTTCTGGCGAACCAAAGCAGCACACAGAAACACCATTTACCTTCCCGCCTATTTATCTACTTGTACTTTGATGTGCTTTCAAACTTCTAGGTTGGCAGGAGCAGGGACCGAGCAACGGGAGCTCACCCCATGGCGGGGATTCAAACCGCCAACCTTCTGATTGGCAAGCCCCATGGCTCTGTGTTTTAGACCACAGTGCCACCTGTGTCCTGTAAGCAGCCAAAGGTTTGTTTAAAAAATAAATACAGTGGACGCTTGGGTTGCGAACATGATCCATGCGGGATGCACGTTCACAACCCGCAGCATCCGCAACCTGCAGCGGCGCATCTACACATGCACGGGTTGCAATTTGGCGCTTCTGCACATGCGCAACCGCCGAAACCCGGAAGTAACCAGTTCTGGTACTTCCAGGTTTCGGCGGTCCGCAACCCAAAAAAACGCAACGTGAAGCGTCTGTAAACCGATGTATGACTGTAAATAGCAACTTAATTTACATTAAATTGGGAATTCAAGTGTCAGGTTTCATACTGCAACAGGAAACATATTCCCTAAAAGATGCTTTTCCAAACTCTCCAAAATATAAATTTAGCAACATTTCTAGGCAAAACGTTATTCCTGGTTTGTTGGCTTTGCACTGGAAATTATCCTAAGATTTCTAACAAGGCAAAGGGCAGCAAAAGGGAGAACAATTGTTCTTCACTTCCTTATGGCAATCTTTCTAAAATACCCTGTCATTAATACTATTTTCACAAGGCAGGCAATTCTTCCTTTCCTATTTCTTATAGCCAATTTCTCACATTCTTATCTATTTCTACTCTCCTCTGAACTGTCGCCAGTTTGTCTGCATCCTCCTTAGGTGTGGCTATCAACACAAGACAAAATCGTTCCAGCAAAAGCATGATCAAAGCCAAGCAGAAGATGGTTACTCCCAAAGTGGTGGATGCTGTGTTTCTGTTAATGCAACTCAAAACAGTATTTTATGTCTAAAACAATAGATCAGGCTATTAGTTTTCTATGTGTGTTTTTTTACTGTCATTTAAAAATAGGCTTGATATAATATCAAATCTTCATCCACCCTAGATCAAGCTTCATAAATAATTCCCAAAATTCCTATTTTCTGCAACAAGATCCCTGCCACCAGATCTTCCTGTTTCTTTAAGTAATACTGTTTCATCCTTTTATATATTTGAACATGGCTATCATATCACCCCTTAACCTCCTCTTCTCCAGGCTAAACATGCCCAGCTCCCTTAGCCGTTCCTCATAAGACATCGTTTCCAGGCCTTTGACCATTTTGGTTGCCCTCCTCTGGACACGTTCCAGTTTGTCAGTGTCCTTCTTGAATTGTGGTGCCCAGAACTGGACACAGTACTCCAGGTGAGGTCTGACCAGAGCAGAATACAGTGGCACTATTACTTCCCTTGATCTAGATGCTATGCTCCTATTGATGCAGCCCAGAATTGCATTGGCTTTTTTAGCTGCCGCGTGACACTGTTGGCTCATGTCAAGTTTGTGGTCAACCAAGACTCCTAGATCCTTTTCACATGTACTGCTCTCTAGCCAGGTGTCCCCCATCTTGTATTTGTGCCTCTCATTTTTTTTGCCCAAGTGCAATACTTTACATTTCTCCCTGTTAAAATTCATCTTGTTTGCTTTTGCCCAGTTCTCTAATCTGTCAAGGTCGTTTTGAAGTGTGATCCTGTCCTCTGGGGTGTTAGCCACCCCTCCCAGTTTGGTGTCATCTGCAAATTTGATCAGGATGCCCTTGAGTCCATCATCCAAGTCATTGATGAAGATGTTGAATAAGACCGGGCCCAAGACAGAACCCTGTGGCACCCCACTAGTCACTCTTCTCCAGGATGAAGAGGAACCATTGATGAGCACCCTTTGGGTTCGGTCAGTCAGCCAGTTACAAATCCACTGAGTGGTAGCATAGTCAAGACCGCATTTTACCAGCTTCTTTACAAGAATATCATGGGGCACCTTGTCAAATGCCTTGCTGAAATCAAGGTAGGCTACATCCACTGCGTTCCCTTCATCTACCAGGCTTGTAATTCTGTCAAAAAACGAGATCAGGTTAGTCTGACATGACTTATTTTTCAGAAATCCATGCTGACTGTTGGTGATCACAGCATTCCTTTCTAGGTGCGCACAGACTGTTTGCTTAATGATTCTTCTACAAAGACTTATTCTAATGCAATCTTGCAAAGAAGCCCACAAACGTTAGTAGCCTACAAACAAATTTACCAGCCCTCTTATCCACAGGATAGTAAAAAATAAAATAAAAAGAACTACTATCAGAGAGGTCTTGCACCAGCCTATTTAGTTCCTGTGCTAGATGTGCATAAAGGGGCTTTCCTGCTCCATGGCTAGTATGGAGACCAAATAAATATATCACGATTCTACCAGGTCACTCACTCATCTGCATGTAATTCCTGCAGAAGATTCTTAGCAAGGCTATTCATTATCTTTAATACCAGAGGTAGTTTGTCTCTGAATACCAGTTGTTGGGGGACCATAAATAGGGGAGAACTGTAACATTTATCTGCAATAGTGGGCTTCCTATAGGCATCTGGCTGGCCACTGTGAGAACAAAATGCGGGCTAGATAGGCTATTGATTTGGACACAGCAGCTACCAGGCTGAGTTGTTGGAAACAATATATTCTAAATGATTGGGATTTTTAAAACAAAATACTTTATCCATCAAAATTCAAAATATTTTAAAAATTCATATTCAGTGACACTGAAAATGCTCCAATTAAATTTTGATGCAAAAGGTTGGTATTGTGAAAAGAGACATTATGAAGTTTTCATCTTGCATAATCTTAAATGCATGCTTAACTAAACTGTGTACTGCTAACCCAGCATCACCGATCTAAACGGTATTCCTGCTGTTGACTCCCCCTCCCCAGCCTACAACTACTGCATGTTACATGATGAATGTTGGAGCAATTAGGGGACAGAACCCCAACAGCTCCTAAAATTGTAATCTTAGCACATCAAGCGTTTCTGCTCCCCAACCCCTATGGCTAACTCCCTGAACAGTAGTAATGAACATTTAAAACAACAAAGCAATCCTACCATATCTACACAGAAGTAATTTATACTGAATTCAGTGACATACTCCCAGGTAAGCAGAGTTTGGAATCTAGCCTAATGTACATAAGGAATGCAGATTCTGAAGAAGTGTGTCATAATAGGAAGAAATCAGGAGGAGCAAAGTGGTAGAATGTTGCAAGGGGCCAGGAAAAATGGAAGATGCTTACAGATGGAGCAAAAGTATCAAAGAGAGCCACTGTCCAATATCCTGTGAAGGGGCCATCACACATTATTTGATTTAATTGTTTGCAGACTCTTTTTCTGTGCAAGTCAATGAGATGTTTATATTTGCTCCTTTGACATGTACCTTGAAAATGTAAGAACTGCATTCCTGGATGATATCAAAGCCTACATGTTGCCCAATAATTCAACCTTCAGTTGTAGCCAGCCAGATCATCATGACCACGCCTGTTTGCTAAAAGAACCACTGGTTGAGTACACCTGTGCCCACATAAAAGTATCAGTTTGAAAATGGGACTCCCAAGTAGGTGTCTATGGGCATGACGGAATTCCTGCCCCTCCCTTCTAAAAACAAAAACAAAAATCTTATTTATTTCAACAACTTACATACCGTTTAACACCCAAGTTTCAAAGTGGTGTACCATAAGATTACACAAACAAAAAATGAAGTTTTTAGGAGGTGTTATTTGTTTGGCAGGGGGTGGCCTACTTTTTTGTCTGTTTTATTTGAGTTGTGCATAATAAATTTGCCTCTTGTTCGGTGGGTCTCAGCATCAAAAAAAAAATCTTCTGTGAAATGGGTATTTTGTGATGGCCACAACTTTTTAGATTTCTAAATCTGCTTTCAGGTCTCAAAAGTTGGGGGCCTGTTGTAGAACCAAGTTGGCAACTACAAACCCATGAACTGCAGACAGATCCCCAAATCAATTATATTTGCTCCCTGGCATATTTTAAATGCAAGGTATGGTGGAGTGTTTGCTCAGATTCCGTAAGTAAAGTGGTCTCTTTGTGGGAGGTTTTACTGTATATGGAATGCCTGAACTACTGTACATAGGTTCTGCTGCTACATCCTTAACTAGTGAACCTTGGGGCTACCACAGAGCCTTTTTTGGAAGTGGCATCTGAGTTGCAAAACAACCTCTGCAAAGATGCCTCTCCAGTCCCTTCTTTACAGCCTTTTTGGCAACAGGGGAAGATTTTCTGAGGTTTTTAAGCAGTTTTTTTAACACCAGACTGCAAACTATTTTATGCTTTTTCTAGGTAGTTATTTTGTTGTTTTGTTTTTTTAATGTATTTATTAAATTTTCAGATATACATTTTCCATCATTAAATACACAACAGTACATCCAATGATTTCCCTTCTTCTCCTTCCATGTTTCCTTGCACAGTGGTACCTCTGGTTACAAACTTAATTCATTCTGGAGGTCTGTTCTTAAACTGAAACTATTCTTATCCAATTTCCATTTGCATCCTGGGGCAAAGTCTGCAACCAGGAGCAGCTACTTCCGGGTTAGTGGTGCTCATAACCAGAAGCGTTTGTAACCAGAGGTACCACTATACTTCCAAAAGTAACTGCATAGTCTATTTCCTCCATCTAGTTCCCTCCTTCAGCGGTGGAGGAAGCCTCTTGGGCACCTGGGGCGGTGCGCCCAGCAGCAGGGCGAACTGCCCATAGGGATGGGGCGTGCGGCGCCCTTAGGGAGGAATGGGACGGGGCACACCACGGGGCATCAGCCGCCCTACAGCTGAGGGGGAGGCAGTGGGAGGACAGTGTGGAGCCTATGGCCGCTGGAGATGTGTGGCTCTAGTGCGCTGCAGGCCCCATAGTGAGTGCCGCCTGCCATTTTGTCACCCCCCTCAGTGGGGACACCCAGGGCAGGTCACACCTACCGCACCCCCCTTGCTACACCCCTGCCCTCCTTTCCTTTATATCTTAATCTACATTATACTGTTGAATGTAGATTAAGATATAATGGAAAACAGGAAACTAGCTGGAGGAAATCAAATATGCAGGAAATCAAATATGCAGGGGGTTGCTGCCTTTTATTGTTGATTGCTAAGCTTTAATTATTACTGCATAGGGTCTTGTGATTCTAGTATGCTTGCTGTCAGCCGCCCCAAGCGTGTTTATCGATAGGTGGCTATAATAAGTCTAATAAACAACTTCGTGTCATTGGCTACCTGTGAAGAGGGCAGCGTATACCGCAAGATGCATTTTACTTCCTTAAGGCTGGATGATTTTGCACACTCCCCCCAAAATGAGAAATTGTTTTCCCCTGCTCTAGCCTAGTCCAAAACGAAGCACGTTTCTCATCCCGCCACAATTAGCAGCGCCACAAAATGCCATGGTAAAATAAATAAAAATCGCTTGGGAACGAACCATGGCAACAGAGGCGTCGCTGCCTGTCTCTTACGGAGCGAGCCTGCTGTACATGTTTCCTCAGAAGTAACTATTTCTCCCACGTAGCTATTGCAAAGGACTGCAGTTTCCCCTTCCTTCGGTTTAAGCGTTGGTTATGCACACACTACATATGCACGGCTGCCCGGAGCCACTAAAAACCCTCTATATGTGTTTAACTGCCTACATGTGAATACACAGGCAGCTGCCCCATTGCTGAGAAGGAACTCCTTCCCTTCCCTTCCCATATTTGTTCCTAAACGAGGTGTGAAGAGAAAAGCTCCCTTTCAGGGGAGGCGAGAAGAGCAATATAGCAGGCGAAGGGAAAGCAAAGCTCAAGTAGACACACCTCAGTCTCTCACCGGCCCCCGCTTCCGCAACAATTAAGCCGCGCCAAGATGGCGACCACCCGAGGCTTTAGAAAAGAGAACGGACGACGGCCGGCGTCTTGAGAATCCCGCGCCCAAGAACTACAGCACCCAAGAAGCGCCGAGGAACGCGACGACTCGCTGGTTCCACCGACCCCGCCCCGTTTCCCAGAGGGCAGCACGCCGCCAGAAACCAACCCCCTCAGCGGACTACACCTCCCAGCATGCCGTTGACCCAAAAGCCTTCGCTGCCAGGGCGGGTAGGGCTTGGCGAATTATAGTGGCTGAGAGCGAGTTTCTCGAGTAAGATGGCGGCGGGAGCGGTGGCGGCAGCAGCAGCAGCAGCGTCGCTTTGAGGAAAGAGAAGAGAGAGAGAGAGAGAGAGAGAGAGAGAGAGGGGCGAGCGCTCGCTCCGCGGCGTGGCTGCTTCAGATGGTCGGCACTATCTACCAGCGTGCGCTAAGCGGGGTTGGGGGTTAAGTCGGGCGCTGCGGTCCCGGCGGCGGCCAGAAGGGGACAGGCAGAAGGGCTGGGGCGGCGTCGGCGACAGCAGCAGCGAGAGCGAGAGCAGCGGCAGGAGCAGCAGCGGAGCCTCGCGGAGAGAGGCGCCAGGCAGGTAGAGCGAGCTCCCGCGGCGGCCTCGTCGCTTCGCTGCCCGCTGGCAACGGCTGTGAGGGAGGCGCCTCCATGTCGGACAACCAAAGCTGGAATTCCTCGGGCTCCGAAGAGGATCCCGAGACCGAATCCGGGCCGCCTGTTGAGCTCTGCGGAGTCCTCAGCAAGGTAAGGGGGTTCCTTCCTCTCGCCGCCACGGAGCGGTCGTGCTCGGCTCGGCTTTTCACCTGAGCTCCCGAGGGCCGCCCCCCCCGTCTCCTTCGTGGTCGACGGGGGACATGCGGGGGGCGCCCCTTGCGGTAGGGTGGCCGGTTGTGGGAGCCTGGCGCCGAGTCCCCCCCTCTCCCCGCAATAACTGGCCCCCTCGCCTGGTAGGGTGGCGGCCTAGGAGCCTCCTGCCCCTCTTCCCCAGCTTAGAGGGAGCTCTCCGCACATCTCCTTCCCCGCCTCCCACTGGGTGTTGTGGCTTCTGTTTTTGTTATTATTCCGGTTTGGTGGTGGTGTGTTAAAAAAAGGCTTTACCTCTGCAGTCTTGGAAACCTTTTATCCGGGTCGGGGGGCGGATTGCTTAGTTGCAGAGCGAAGCCTTCGCCCTTTCTAGGTGGAAAATGTCTGTGAATGTCACTTTCTCTATTCCCCAGGAGCCCACCCGCCGCTGCCACCTTTCCCTGATGATCAAAGTATGAGTCTTGGTTTCAGGAAGGGTGACTTGGTAAAATAATATTCGTGCTCATTGGAGTGGGATTTTTTATTATTTAATTTCTGTGTGTGTGTGCGCGCATGTGATGCAGCGGAGAAGGAAAAAAGATCAATCTGTTCCATCAGGTTCTTCTCAAGAGCCTGGTAATCCTGACTAGATTTCACTTGTAGCCACAGCTTGGCTGAGTAATGCTGCCGAGGCAGCCTGTATGGGGCGCTTCCACTCGTTGATTCTGCACGACTGGAAAAGCTAACTTCTTGGGCCCGCGAATCGAAACCTTACACGGTTTTCTCCCTCTTTTAAAAAAATGAAGGAAACAAAATCATGTGATATGCATGAACACATAACGCACAATTGTACCATAGAGAAGAGTGGTGTGACCTTTGCTCTAAACAGTGCAGTAAAATAGACTGACTGGAGGGACAGTATAGGGAGAAAGTACAGGAGAAAGCAGCTGTATACACAACTGGAGGACTTTAAGGCTTCAGTCCCTGTATTATTTCTAATTTTTAGCGTGAATCCTTTGCAGTTTTGCTATTTAGAAACTTGCAAAGGAGTCATTATTCAGACAGAAAGCTAAGTTTTTAAGCAAGACATAAAGTTTTAGCAATATGATTAAGTCCTTCAGAAACTAAATGGTAATTTTGCTTTTTGAAGCAGTTTCACTTGCACTATGTTTTTGACCCTGTTTTGTGTACTGAAGCAAGCAGTGAAAGCACAATCTGAGATGCTCAAGTTGGAAAACGTTATTGCTGAAAAAGCTTTTGCAGTCCAGTTAGTTTTCACGTATTTATAAGGAAACTAAACATAAATTCCCAAGTATTGTCATTTCTGAATTAGAAGGTAGATAAAGGTAAAGGGTAAAGGGACCCCTGACCATTAGGTCCAGTCGTGACCGACTCAGGGGTTGCAGTGCTCATCTCGCTTTATTAGCCGAGGGAGCTGGCGTACAGCTTCCGGGTCATGTGGCCAGCATGACTAAGCCGCTTTTGACAAACCAGAGCAGCGCACAGAAATGCCGTTTACCTTCCCACCGGAGCGGTACCTATTTATCTACTTGCACTTTGACGTGCTTTCGAACTGCTAGGTTGGCAGGAGCAGGGACCGAGCAACGGAAGCTCACACCGTCGTGGGGATTCGAACTGCCGACCTTCTGATCGGCAAGTCCTAGGCTCTGTGGTTTAACCCACAGCGCCACCCGTGCCCCGGTAGAAGGTAGATCAAGTGCTGCAAATGGGGACTCTGGATCAGGTAACAAGAATATGACACATGGCATTCTGTCCAGATCTCAGAGATTGGAAACACATGCAGCCCTTTAGCCCAGTATGACTTTAGATGATAGTTAGCTGCCAGAAGGAATTTAGGCATCTTTGTTACAGCAAAGATATGGAGCAACTCTCTGCCATTTTTCTGTGGGAATGGAGACTTCTGTGGTTGAGTCTAGTGCAGCTTTCTTCCACACTGACTATTCCTACTGGCTTTAGCTAAATGGCCTGATTTTTGCTCTAAATCATAAGCACAGAATGCTCACCTGCACTCATCTTTGAACAGAATTGTAATGCTCACAACCAGTGTGGATTTAGACTGTTGCCAGGTGCAGGTACTGACGGTTGTATACAGTATGTAATGTGGCAATTATTCAACATCCTTGACAACTTTCTTTTCTTGTCAACTGTTTAGTTTTAGTTTTTGTTTTAAACTCAATCTGCAACTTACTGCAACTTTTATTATTAGCCAATGTACAATTTATACCAACATTATTTCAGCTCCTTGTCATCATGTGACTTCCAAATGTTAAGGTTGAAATGTATGTTGCTTTTACAGGCTGCCCACCCCTGATGTTAGCCAGGATGCCCTTCCTGTTCTCATCTATACAGGAATAAATGAAAGGAAATCTAAATTGCAAAATGTGATCTAACCTGTTGCATATTAAAAAGCTGAGCTACATTATTGCATAGTTTTTAGAACTTTCTTTGTGATTTGTGTCTTCATTAATGAAATAAATTGAAATTAGTAGATTTGCAAGGATTTAAAAAGCAACAATACAGTCTTCTGCTAAATATAAGGTACAGGAACAAAAAAGAAACACCATTTGTTTTCTTATAGAATGCCCACTTGAATGGCAACTTATGCAAGTGCATATTATGCATGCACATATATTATCGCTGTAGAATTCTATACAAAGAATAATTTGCTGTATGTTAGCTTGTCAAACTGCTAAGCTTGCTTCTATCTTTAGTACAATCTTTTTCTCTTTATACTATTCTAATTTAAGATTTTCTATATATTTTAACTTATAGAATGAAACTCATTGTTGTGGAATGGCTTTTGATCTAAGAGATGTCCATTAACATAAGGGAATGGGAGATTGTTTTTGCCAATTCCCTCCTCCTGCTGCAGCCCCTGAACCTCGCAAAAATAAGTTCCAGAAGTTTGGAGGACCCTTCAGAAGAATGTGGAAGATGACATGAAAAGTTCAGGGGACTGCAGCTGGAAGAACTTGCAAAAATTTCTTTCACTCTTGATCAAATGCCGCTCTACAAGATTATTGCCCATTGCATATATATTTTAAGATATGGATTATATTATTAAGACACAAATAGCATTAAAAGTGAAATCCTCAGTTCAGTACTTTTACTGAGCATTAATTAAAACTAGATTGTAGATGATCCATTGAGGAAGGGTTAACCAGTGAGTGTTCTATTGTGATCTTGCTTATCATTGGTGGAAACTTTATTGCTATTTAAGTTTCTTTTAAGCTTCTTTTATTTAATATTTTAATATTATGTTTACTTGGGACGCGGGTGGCGCTGTGGGTTAAACCTCAGCGCCTAGGACTTGCTAATCGCATGGTCGGCGGTTCGAATCCCCGCGGCGGGGTGTGCTCCCATTGCTCGGTCCCAGCACCTGCCAACCTAGCAGTTCGAAAGCACTCCCGGGTGGAAGTAGATAAATGGGGACCGCTTACTGGCGGGAAGGTAAACGGCGTTTCCATCTGCGGCTCTGGCTCGCCAGAGTAGCTTCGTCACGCTGGCCACGTGACCCGGAAGTGTCTGGGGACAGCGCTGGCCCCTGGCCTCTTGAGTGAGATGGGCGCACAACCCCAGAGTCTGTCAAGACTGGCCCGTACGGGCAGGGGTACCTTTACCTTTACCTATTATGTTTACTTAGTTATCTGAAGTAACTTGAAGTAACTAATTCTCTTTGGGTTATTCCTAGTATTTTGTTACAAGTTAAGAATAATTTGAAGAGTTCCAGCTCAGTTGGTAGAGCATGAGAGACTTAATCTCAGGGTCATGGGTTCAAATCCCAAGGGCAAAAGATTCCTGCATTGCAGGGGTTTGGACTAGGTGATCCTCGTAGTTCTTCCAACTCGACAATTCTATGATTCTAACCAGGGCATCTTTACATTTTGATGAATTTAATCTGGGTCAGTGGTATGGATTTTCTGGAAAAGTTTGAGTGGAAATATTTACCCTATATCAGCTTGTTGGCATGCTAATTTAGCATGCTTAGATTGTATAGTTGGCTCTGAAAAGGTTAGTTGCAACTTTGAAATTGCCTGTTTTGATACTGTAGCCATTCATGATGTTGCAAATAAAATTTAGGTAACAATGTACTTTTAAAACAAAATTAACTGCAGAAAAGGATGATACCAAACAGTAGGCATACTACAAGTAGACCTACTGAAAACAATGAAATCATTTATCTCAGTTAGTCAACTCTGACTTGAATGCCACCAATTGTAGTGGCAAATCTGCTGTCTCACTCACATCATTACTATCTGCAAACATCTGTCTATCTAAAAAGTGTAATTCATGTTATGCTGCAGTAAATTCACT